TGATTCGTGAATTAACGCTTGATTACAAAAGTGATTATCACACTAAGCACAAAGTTAAAGGAAACATCTGCATTCTCAACGGAATATTCTTTGAAAGTATTGAATGGCGTAGAGTATGTTAGTCTGTACAGCAAGTGATGTAAAGATTGGCAACACAAATTCATCTTATTCTTCCCATGGGGCTGCAATGATGTTTTTCTTCTTAAACTTGAATGTTCACAGGCTCCACTGATCTTTTGCAACAGCGTAATCTGTTTGTGATGATTTTCTTGGCTTTCTGTCGGTAGGAGCGATTGAACAGACAGTAGATGAAAACATTGCAGATACTATTGGACACAAAAAGCCACGTCATCATAAATTGAAGCCAATATGCAGCCTCCACATTGGTGTAAGCCTCAATGATTCTTGTTATCTTTTGTGGGGTGAAACAAACTGCAAAAGCCAGAGTGACGACGACGAACGTCTTCAGAGCTTTGTTGTCCTGGATGTTGTTTTTGTTGTTGGGTTCGTTCTGGTTGATTCGTTTCTCATGCTCTCGGCTGATCTTAATGATGTGATAGTATATGCACATCATGATAAACACTGGAATTATGTCAAGGAATAGAAGGGCCAAAGTGTTTAATGCTGCAGAAGTACTTACGACAAGACATACAGCTGGAGCTTCGTAATACTGTACTCCAACTAGGTATAATGTTGCAGTGACTAAACACAAAAATATAGTTGATGACAACATGACGCTGATAATAACACGACGCTGGGAGCACCACACTGGAAACTTGTAGGGTCGGGTGACAGCAATGTAGCGCTCAATGTTCAAACAGATGAGGGAAAATATTGACACAATCAAAGCTTGTGTTATAACAATAGCGAAAGCCTGACAAGCAACATCACCGAAGGGCCAGTGGTTCATAGCCGAAGCTACGACACTAAATGCTGTCAAACATCCAACTGTGAGGTCAGCTACTGCCAAAGATGTCATCAAGATCTTAGTACTGTCTGCCAAGTCTGGTACGTGTCGAGTCACGACAATAGAAAGAATGTTTCCAGCTATGATCAACAATCCAAGGCAGCTGATGAAACAAGTACGGAAAGCGACAAAGAGCGGGGACACGGCCAAAGGATCTGTCGATGAATCATTCATTTTTCCAGAGAGTGAATCCTTCCAACGAAATTGTAGTTAAAAGTTGCTTCAGATAGATGATATAACTAGTACATCAAATACATTCATGTGGAGGACTGGAAGCTCCAAGTTGATCACCATTAATTCTGGTATTTTGCCGTAAGAAGACTCTGAAAGCTTCTCACACACCAAGTAGTTTTGTGCTGAATGAATTGTTCATGTCAAGATGCCATTAATAGCAATCTTGTGCTTACACATATCCTCTGCGCCAAAGATACACTGCCAAGGTGTCCTCTGCATAGCAAACTCAACATGTAGATGCACAACCGATGGCTAATAGTAAGCCTGAGTTGTTGGAGTAATCAGCCTGTCATGGGGGACACGTCCCTAACAAACAGTTGACTTCTCTGATAATGACATTTTTATTGCTGTCTTTTCATCTCTCCTTTTGTGTAAAGATCAAGTTTGACTTAAAAAAAAAAGAGAGCACAATTCCTGTCATGAAGTGATTGACATAATACAGTTTAAAGTATAGTGTCCCTTTCACTCAACTGACGTCTACTGAGATGCAGTTTTGATTGCTTTTTTAATATTAGCCGTTTTTTTTAAATAAAGATATATACGTGTACAGTTAAATTGTTGACAGTGAAAAACAAAGTGTCATACATGGTACGTTATATATGTGGTTTATGTGGTATATTACCGTTTATATTTACCTTACTTACACATGATGTGGTAGCCTTATTTTTTTGGAAAGGGGAGAGGAGATATTTGATTTTATAGCTTTCACAAAACCATTAAACCAATAAAATTTTCTCTTAGATTTTCAAAGAGGTTTTCTAGTCCCCCTTGAACAAAGACATTAAAAATGGGAACTTCCAACATAGGGCTGGATGGCTCAGTTGGTAGAGCACCGGAACAGCAATCTGGAGGTCATAGGTTCAAACCCCACTCCAGTCAATATGTGGTCCCGTTTTACGGAAATGTTGTTGGAACAAGAGTCCCTCGTGTCACACGCAGTTGAGTGTTCTGTCAACTGAAATGCAAACGCTGAATCTCATGGCCTTATATTAATAACTACCAGGCTAGTTATTGACTCGAGCCGTCACTTTTCTCTCTCATAATAACCTGAGTATTGCACCAGCAAATCTAATATCCGAATATTGCAAAACACTCGAGATTGCAAAATCTTATATCTGATCAGATTTTCAACAGTTTTCTTTAACCTGTTATACTGGTCCAAGAGTTAGATCAAAGGTGCAAAGATTAAGACGTAATTCTAGACGGACGCCTGTTTAACTTTGCAAAATACATGTATATTAGCCTCTTGGTGAGGAATGTAAAAAACTGAAGACTTTATACCAGATTTTCAATTTTTTTGGGAACTTTTTTGGACATAGTTTTATTTTATACTTGTGTAATTTAAATTGGACTGTAAATTGTTTACTGAGAAGTGGATGAGTTGATTCGTGAATTATTGCTTGATTACAAAAGTGATTATCACACTAAGCACAAAGTTAAAGGAAACATCTGCATTCTCAAAGGAATACTCTTTGAAAGTATTGAATGGCGTAGAGTATGTTAGTCTGTACAGCAAGTGATGTAAAGGTTGGCAACACAAATTCATCTTATTCTTCCCATGGGGCTGCAATGATGTTTTTCCCCTTAAACTTGAATGTTCACAGGTTCCACTGAACTTTTGCAACAGAGTAATCTGTTTGTGATGATTTTCTTGGCTTTCTGTCGGTAGGAGCAATTGAACAGACAGTAGATGAAAACATTGCAGATACTATTGGACACAAAAAGCCACATCACCATAAATTGAAGCCAATATGCAGCCTCCACATTGGTGTAAGCCTCAATGATTCTGGTTATCGTTTGTGGGGTGAAACAAACTGCAAAGGCCAGAGTGACGACGACGAACGTCTTCAGAGCTTTGTTATCCCTTATGTTGTTTTTGTTGTTAGGATCGTTCTGGTTGATTCGTTTCTCATGCTCTCGGCTGATCTTAATGATGCGATAGTATATGCACATCATGATAAACACTGGAATTATGTCAAAGAATAGAAGGGCCAAAGTGTTTAATGCTACAGAAGCATTTACGGCAAAACATACAGCTGGAGCTTCGAAATACTGTACTCCAATTAGGTATAATGTTGCAGTGATAAAACACAAAAATAGAGTTGATGACAAAATGACGCTGATAATAACACGACGCCGGGAGCACCACACTGGAAACTTGTAGGGTCGGGTGACAGCAATGTAGCGCTCAATGTTCAAACAGATGAGGGAAAATATTGACACAAAAAAAGCTTGTGTTAGAACAATAGCGAAAGCCTGACAAGCAATATCGCCGAAGTAGCCGAAGCTACGACACTAAATGGTGTCAAACACCCAACTGTGAGGTCAGCTACTGCCAAAGATGTCATCAAGATCTTAGTACTGTCTGCCAAGTCTGCTACCTGACGAGTCACGACAATGGAAAGAATGTTTCCAGCTATGATCAGCAATCCAAGGCAGCTGATGAAACAAGTACGGAAAGCGACAAAGAGTGGGGACACGGCCAAAGGATCTGTCGATGAATCATTCATTTTTCCAGAGAGTGAATCCTTCCAACGACATTGTAGTTAAAAGTTGCTTCAGATTGATGATATAACTAGTACATCAAATAGATTAATGTGGAGGACTGGGAGCTCCAAGTTGATCACCATAAATTCTGGTATTTTGCCGTAACAAGACTCTGAAAGCTTCTCACACACCAAGTTGTTTTGCGCTGAATGAATTGTTCATGTCAAGATGCCATTAATAGCAATCTTGTGCAGACACATATCCTCTGCGCCAAAGATACACTGCCAAGGTGTCCTCTGCATAGCAAACTCAACATGTAGATGCACAACTGATGGCTAATATTAAGCCCGAGTTGTTGGAGTAATCAGCCTGTCATGGGGGACACGTCCCTAACAAACACTTGACTTCTCTGATAATGAAATTTTTACTGCTGTCTTTTCATCTCTCCTTTTGTGTAAAGATCAAGTTTGACTTAAAAAAAAGAGAGCACAATTCCTGTCATGAAGAGATTGACATAATTACAGTTTAAAGTAGTGTCCCTTTCACTCAACTGACGTCTACTTAGATGCAATTTGATTGCTTTTTTAATATTAGCCGGTTTTTTTTAATAAAGATATATACGTGTACAGTTAAGTTGTTGACAGTGAAAAAAAAGTGTCATACATGGTACGTTATATATGTGGTTTATGAGGTATATTACCTTTTATATTAACCTTACTTACACATGATGTGGTAGTCTTATTTTTTGGAAAGGGGAGAGGAGATATTTGATTTAGCTTTCACAAAACCATTAAACCAATAATATATTCTCTTAGATTTTCAAAGAGGTTTTCTAGCCCCCCTTGAAGACATTAAAAATGGGAAGTTCCAACATAGGGCTGGATAGCTCAGTTGGTAGAGCACCGGAACAGCAATCTGGAGGTTGTAGGTTCAAACCCCACTCCAGTGAATTTCTGTTGTACTTTCTAATAACTTTGTTGATTTTCACCCGTAGAGATCTCGTTTGTGGTGGCAAAGCGCGTTCATGCATAGCATGCAGTGTAAGTCATCAAACACTCACAACCATATATTGGTCTCGTTCAAATGATGTCATTTCCTACAGACCATCCACGTGCATCGGCATTTTGATTGGGAACTTGCATAACGCGCATCGGCTGTGTCGTATTTCGAACAGATTTCGAGCAACAAGCGCACGTGTTTGGAACATTTTCAACACATGCGTGCTTGATTGTGTAAAAACACGCAGCTGCAGTTCTCCTACAGAGATGGCCGTCATTGAACACGCCCTATTGTTTTACAATAATATCTAACCTTTGCGTTTTGTTTCCACCTGTTTTTCACCTGCAGATACAATGCGCCGTTCAAGAAGACCATTCAACAATGGGTTCAGAATCTGTCCAACACCAGTGAGATCATTGAGCAATGGATGCAAGTCCAGAACCTGTGGGTCTACCTGGAAGCCGTGTTTGTCGGTGGGGACATCGCCAAACAGCTGCCGAAGGTACACTTGGAATTTTGTCATCAGGGTTCCTGATGAACTGTGTTTTGCCTTTCTTTTCAAAAACTTTTGTTCCCTCTTTTTTAAATTTGAAATTAGCATAAATAATACCATTCATTGGATTGGGTGGCTGGTCATTTCGGTTGGCAATGGACCTATCCAGTAAGCACCACCCCATGGTATTCTGACCAATCGCAGCTGTGATTTATGACCGACGTGCGTGCACAAAAGTCCGATATGCGTGCACGCGCGTATGATGCACGCGGTAGGAAAATGTAGTGTGGCATTGGAGAGGAGCGCGTGTTAATTTGCCCACGTGCGCAGTGGGAGGGGCTTACTGGATCGGTCCATCGAAGGCTGAAGATCAGACGTTTTTTTTTCTCCTTAAATTTATTAATTTCCTTTTTTTTCCAATTAATTGTTTAGTTTTTAAATTAAGTGGTGTTTTTTTTTAATTCCGCATTCTGTCCGTAGATGTTGTTTTCATTTACTTTTGTAATTGAAAATATAGACTTATTCGGCAATTTCAACTTGGAAGCTATTTTTGATGTGGCACCACGTTTGCGTTCATGCTGCATGCGTTCTTAAAGAAAAGACGCACGCACATTTTGGTAACCCTATTCGTCAAAGGAGCCTGGAATGTATGTGGACTTCCTGAAATGACCCGCTTAACCTGATTCCTCCTCAGAAAATGGCTTTTCCCCAAATTAGACTATTTTCTAAATCTGTTTTTAAAGCAAATTGTAAAAGCTCACAGTTAATGTTGGTCTTGTAAATTCTGTATGTACCATTTGTGGATGAAAGCCCCATATATTCCTGAGTTCTTGTGATTCATTCATAGATGAAATTCTCTGTTTTTCACTGAGTTCTCATTGGTTTATTGTTTACGATTTGAACCCTACAAGGAAGCCAAACGTTTCTCCAACATCGACAAATCGTGGGTCAAGATTATGGTGCGAGCCCACGAGAACACCAACGTGGTCCAGTGCTGCGTGGGGGATGAGTTCATGGGCCAGCTGCTACCTCATCTGCTGGAGCAGCTGGAACTGTGCCAGAAGTCACTCACAGGGTAAGGTTAAAGGTCACCACTGTCTGGTCAAAGGTCAACATTCAAGGGTTTTATATCCAGCTTCTGTTTCAGGAAACTTTTAAGCCCAGAATTGGGTGACTCTGGCTCGCTATGGGTCCATTTTCTGTCACAGGCTTGCAACGGATCAGCTGATTTGCTTCTTTTATTTTCAATTCCCATTTTTGCCTTTTAAAATTGAAAAACACTGTACAAAGTCTGAAGTCTTGGAATTTCCTCTTTTTTGGGGGTGACTTTACAGTTGCTTGGCTGACTATAAACCCCCCCCCCCCCCCAGCATGTGGCCAAAGTTGAGAGTCCTTCCATCTGCTTTGGATGTTAAAGTTTTTACAATGGTTCTGAAACCAGGGGTGAAGCTGAGATTTTGAAAATCCCCAGAGTTTTATTATTAACAGTGTTCAGGGAAAACATTATGGTTATTGGGTGGTGAGTGAATATTCAGATAAAAAAAATAACTGTCAAATTTTGTCATTTCCATTTCAAATATCCACATATTTTTTCCGAAATGTCAGTTCTGGTTATATTAGAGAACTGGAAAATATCGTTAGATTTTTAAAAATTTATTTCAGGAAACAGTTCAAGAATAAATTGTTTTGTGTATGACCATGTAGTTTATACCATTGAAATCATACACTTTGTAAAAAAAACCTCACAGAGAATTGTGACAGAAGCAGTTATGGAAAGCCACGTGCCGTTAAAGTCCCCCTGCAATTAAAGGAGTTTCTGTCTTTTAAATATACTTTCTTTTTGTTGCTATATACTTTCCTTGTATTTTTCACATTTTCTACCTTAGAAAATGTCTGGGCCCACTAACATCTCTGTATCGAAGTGGAAATTCCCTCCATTGAAGACTCTGTAAGTGCATAGCTTCACAAGAAGAGAAAGATGGTGATGTTCTAAGATTCTGAAACTTACTTTTCCTCTTTTCCTTACAGCTACCTGGAGAAGAAGCGTCTGTTGTTCCCGCGTTTCTTCTTTGTCTCAGACCCGGCCCTGCTAGAGATCCTGGGCCAGGCTTCTGACTCGCACACCATCCAGGCCCATCTGCTGAGTATCTTTGACAACACCAAGAACGTCAAGTTCCATGAGAAGAGTTACGATCAGATCTTGGCAATCATCTCGCAGGAAGGAGAAACTATTGAGGTGAGGGAACAGTTGGCATTGATGATTTGGTTTGGGTAGTGATTTAGAATCAATAGTAAGAAAATGATGAAAGAAAATTGAAAATATTGGAAAAGTATGAATGAAAAATTTACCTTTCGTGACAGGAATAATCCTAATTTTGTTTGTGTATGTTGCTTGTGCATTTTATGTACTGTTGACGTGAAAGATTTAAGCAAAATGAGGAATATATGTTAGGATTTGTTGTTGTTGATATAATGCCAGAAAAGTTTTGATAAAGATAAGGGTCTTTAGACTACAAAGAATTGGTATGGAAACCATAATGGGTATATAAAGTTGATCTAAGGTCATAAGTCTTTAATTTGAACATTTTGTAAGCCAGTTTTCCAGGAGTCTTAAGGAGTCTTGCTATCATTTTTTATTCTTTGAAAAAAAAAAGACTGGCAAAAGTCCACTCGTTTATTTTTCCAATTATATTCAAATATAGAAATGTGAGTTGAAACCGACCAATTAAATGTTCCCTATTTATAGTGTCCAAAACAGTCATTACCAAAATGCATATAATTTTCTTAGGAGTCTGCATGGCAAAATACCTGTGAAGAAATTATCTGTTATTAAAAAGATGAATTCGGTCGCGAAAACTCATAAAAAAAATTGATGAAAAAAATGGGCAACTTTGTCAAAGATCACAGCAACATTTAACCATGTTTACAAAAATTATTATTTTGTTTACAATAATTATTATTGCTTTTGAATCACTATATTTTGTAGCTTGAGAAGCCCATCAAGGCTGAGGGTAATGTGGAGATCTGGCTGATGAATCTGATGATGATGTCACAGCGATCGGTCCACGGTGTCATCCGTACGGCAGCTATGGCGGTCCAAGATACTAGCTTTAATCTGATCGAGTTCCTGAACTCCTACCCAGCACAGGTAACGTCAAGCTCCCTTTCTCATAAGTGTTTTTGCGTATTACGGGAAATTGTGTTGTGGGACTTTGTTTATTGTTACGCTTATTTACTTCTTGTCATAAAACCAAGGATTCTTCAAAAACGCTCTAGGCACGAGTAGCTCGCAATTCTGAAGGAACTTGTAGAGAGAAGACCATGAGAAGAAATAGCAGTTTCAGATGTGGGAGGAAAACCCCAGCAGAATATTCTGGGGAAAACTCACGGAATCAGGTAGAGACTGAAAACTCAATCCACATGTGGACCAGGGCAGGAATCGAACCTGGGCCATAGAGCACTGCTAACCACAGAATTCCACGCTTACGATCACCACTCTGTGCTATTAGTCCTAGCAGAAAAAATTCTGCACTCTTCCTGTAAGCACAGAATCCTTAGTTTCGGGATGTACGCATGCGCAGAGGCCACAATTCCTTGCTAACCTGAGAAATACGCTTACCGTAAGCACAGAATTTTCTGCTACAGTAAGCAGGGATTGTTCACCAACGGTAAGCAGAATTAGGCCCAGATCACGGGGCCCTTGACTTTGCTTTCGAAAGAAAGTTTAAGAAATACACCCCCTTGCACATAATTTTTTTGGCCCAAGCTGGCATGCTTTCATAGTGATAATAAATAGGCTTGCAGTGCTTATACCATTTCCATATAAGGAGAATTTTAGCACAACGCATGCGAGGCACATACCATAACCATGGCCAGAGGGGTGTTTCACAAAACATGAAGTAAATTGTTGAACAAAATCGTTAGAAATTTGTGTATTTTGACTTGTTTGGACTTTTTAACCAAAAGGCAGTTATGAATGGGAATAAATATGTGCTTGGATGGTTTAAATAAAGCAAGTACGTTTAAAACCAGCTAGGGGCCTGGCTGGGATAATAGTCCGAGCCGAAGGCACATATTTATTTCCTTAGTAAAAAGCAACACTAATTGTACTGTCCAAGCCGCAGGTTGGGCAAACTTTCATGAATAGAGAAACGTAAGTCCTGAGTATGAAATGGTCAAATGATCAATCAATTAAACACCTGTACATTGTCTCCCATTGAACAGGTGGGTCTTCTAGGCATCCAGATGATCTGGACTCGCGATGCCCAGGAAGCGTTAGTCAACGCCAAGTACGATCGTAAGGTCATGCAGCAAACCAACCAGGCCTTCCTGGAGTTGCTGAACCTCCTGATTGAACAGACCACACGCAACCTGACTAAGGTGGAACGTCGGAAGTACGAGACGCTCATTACCATCCATGTCCATCAGAGGGATATCTTTGACGACTTGGTGAGTTGGATTGAAATAGCCTGGAAATTATTGGTGATTAGCAAAGACACTACCTCTGATTTCGCCAAAATGTGATGTAATGGCTTAAATCATTATGTATGTTATCATTGAATTCCTTATTTACATAAATTTGTAAATTGCAATGCATTTGTGGCATTCAATTGGATCTTTAGAGACACGTTTTTAGATGAGATACATAAAAAATATAAAAAAGTAGTTGACAAAATTGTTTAACTTCCTGTCCAAAAATGTACTGAGTAGACTCTACATGCTTAGATCATATAATTCTTATCACAATTCTACAAGTTTTTAGCTTTTGTTGTACACACACAGTAAATAATATTGTCCAATATTCTGACGTCAGATTCAATATTCAATTGGTAAAATTTCTTCAGTGAACATGGTATATTTTCAATGAGTTCTTAATATTTTTCCAAGTGGAATAGGAGATTCACTAATATTCTCACAGCATAACCATTAGTAATAATCCTGTATTACCAATTTAAAAAAAAAGTTTGAGCAGTGCTTCTACATCCAAGTTCTACATCATCCTGAAATGTAGAAGTAATGAGATTATTGGTCAGCTATTTATTCCCTTATTCATCTTAAGATACCTCTTATTCCATTCAATTTGGAAAATAATTTGACCATTTATTTTTAGGTGAGGATGCACATCAAGTCCCCCACTGACTTTGAATGGCTGAAGCAGACACGTTTCTACTTCAATGAAGACAATGACAAGATGCTGGTGTCTATTACCGACGTTGACTTCCTGTATCAGAATGAGTTCCTTGGATGTACTGAACGACTGGTCATCACGCCTCTCACAGATAGGTAAAGTTTCCTGCAGTAATACCCTCGCAAAATTCAAACGCCTAAAGAGGTTGAAGAACAGGCATGAACTACTGTGCTAAACTGACTCCACTTAAATCTGCAAGCCAGCTATTTGTTCAAAGATTTGTTCAAAACATTCAGAAAATTTGTTTAAAAAAAGTCAGAAAATTCAGAAAATGAAAAAGTCACTGGCTGTGTTTTTTAAGATTGCTGACATGGGGCAAGATAGCTAACTTGGTAGAGCCACCTCTAGGTTGTATTGGAGGCTTCTGGTTCATATCCAGTTCTTGTCAATATTGTTCAAAAAGTCTATCTTAAGTTGGTTTCTTGTGACATTTTGTGCTTTGATGTCCCGACTATCTTCAAAACATCAGGCGTAAATTTTGACATTGCCTAAAGGCCGGTTTCATAGTCTGCGCGCAAGCCAAAGAGAACGCGAATTTGTGACGTAACAGGGAATATTTGTGCTGCAAATTCATTAAAGTTGAACATATTTCAACTCGGGCGAGTTTCGCAGCGAAAATTTCATGATGTCAAATTCACTTCGCATTCCCATTCGCTTAAATTATGAACCGGGCTTAAGATGAGTAGTTGGAAGAGCTTGAGAATGTCAGAATCATTTGTGGATACGGCTATCTTTTTGTCCATTGACCTGCTACAGTGAATGGTCATAGCCAAAGACAAAAATGCCCAATTGAGACATTCTTACTCTTGATGTTTCTTTGAAATTCTAGATGCTACATCACCCTTTCCCAGGCCCTGGGCATGAGCATGGGTGGTGCCCCAGCCGGGCCCGCCGGCACAGGCAAAACCGAGACCACCAAGGACATGGGACGAGCCCTGGGCAAATACGTCGTAGTCTTCAACTGCTCCGATCAGATGGACTACCGCGGCTTGGGTCGGATCTACAAAGGCTTGGCTCAGTCAGGTAGCTGGGGATGCTTTGATGAGTTCAATCGTATCGACCTGCCGGTGCTGTCGGTGGCTGCTCAGCAGATCGCGATTGTCTTGACTGCAAAGAAGGAGCGCAAGAAGGTGTTTGTATTCACTGATGGCGACAACGTGGATCTAAATCCAGAGTTTGGACTCTTCCTTACAATGGTAAATAAAGCTTGTCAATTTACAATCTTCAGAATTTAGTTGGTATTGATCATTAAATGTACTTTAAAATGTGTCATGTTGTGAGTGATGACTTGTGATGACTTGTGACTGACTTATGATTACAACTATTATTCCTTCTCTTTTTGCCAGAACCCTGGTTACGCTGGTCGGCAGGAGCTACCAGAGAACCTAAAGATCAACTTCCGTACAGTAGCCATGATGGTCCCTGACAGACAGATCATCATCCGTGTCAAGCTGGCTAGCTGCGGCTTCATGGAGAACATCATCCTGGCGCGCAAATTCTACACGCTGTATAAGCTGTGTGAGGAACAGTTGACTAAACAGGTAGGGGTCAAATACGTCAATCTTTACACAAGTTACACAGAAACAAGACCCCGAAAGTTACAACTCCAGAACCGCTGTTTCTTTGTTGTTTATTTTATCATCTGAATCTCCACTCTGTGCCTAAAGAAGACACTTAACAAAACAATAAGAAGTTTTGACGATGGCCTCTATGCATAAGTTGTGATAAATTTTTTACAAGATTCGGATGCCTGAGTGGGATTCTTTTTCATGTGTTAGTTCCCAAGTGCATCCCTCTCATGTGAAGACACTACAGGTTCACGACATACGTACAGCTCCTGCAGATTATTAGTCTTATCTGTATCCAATTAATTATGCAAATTCATCTTCCGTGTCAGGTGCATTATGACTTTGGATTGCGTAACATTCTGTCCGTCCTACGTACCTTGGGTGCAGCCAAGAGGGCTAACCCTACTGATAGTGAGTCTACCATCGTCATGCGGGTACTACGAGACATGAACCTATCCAAACTGGTAAGAACGTACCATGCACATAAATCTCATAGAACAAAAGCACAGTTTTTCAAAAGGAAATATGTTTTGACTTTTGCTTCGTACAAATTATATTACTCAATCTGCATGATTATTTTGAATCTTTTCCTATACAGATATGAATATTTAGTACATGTACATTTATAAATATTTATTATGTAAATTTAACCCTCATATTAGTAATGAATATTTATATCCATTTCTCTGCCTCTTCCAATAAGATGACTCTATCTGTCCCTTCATTTGGATGTACATATGTGAATAGTTATTATATTTATTATTCATACCCCAACTTATTGAATATTCATATTTATTTCTCTCTTTTTCTATATGTTAATGAGGAGAAGCCTCTCTTTCCCTCATCAACGATCTATCTCATCATTTGTATGCAAATATGCAAATATTCATGATATGTAGTATACCTACTAATGAATATTCATATTCATTTGTCTCTCTTTTCTCCTAGGTTGATGAGGAGGAGCCTCTCTTCCCTCATCAACGATCTGTCCCATCCTTTGTATGCAATTATATGAATATTCATGATATGTAATATTTATACCCACTAATGAATATTCATATTCATTTGTCTCTCTTTTCTCCTAGGTTGATGAGGATGAGCCGCTCTTCCTTTCCCTCATCAATGATCTCTTCCCAGGAATCACCTTAGACAAGGCCGGCTACCCTGAGCTAGAGGCAGCTATCAATCTCAGGGTTGAGGAGGCGGGGCTAGTCAACCACCCCCCATGGTGTCTCAAACTCATCCAGGTATGATGCCCCTGAATCTGTTGTTACACAGGCTATTTCTGCCTGTCCATCATTGTGCATTGACCAATTAAATCACACGTCTTGGTCAGGTGACCATGGTAGCTTGTACACAAACTAAAGATGGGCGGGTCTTATGGCCAACTCCAAAATGGTCCATTGTAGTGAGGCTAAGTGGAATTTGCATTTGCATAGTAGGAACTGTATTTTTGAATCACCGCAATGAGGGTAAAGAGTGTTTTTGCAAAGTCTTGTTGTAGTATTGCAGTGAAGTTGGCTATAATTTGTAGGTGTCTTCCCCCCAAAAAACCTGTTTGTAACACTAGAGCAGTTGTGAATCAAGTATAACGGCAATACTCTGCAACAACACTTAACTTTTGTTGTACCATTCCTGTTTTAAAACAGATTGTGTTACACCAATAATTGCACCCTTGCAATTTAAATTCTTTAAAAAAAATAGTTTGTCTTACTAGATAAAACCCTATTTATGGTGGAGATAAAAACCTTTTCACCTAGTTGAGGCAATTGCCAATATCTACTTGAATCTGTGTATAGCATGGATTATTAGCAAATTGCAGCTTTCATTTGACATTCTGACTTCCAATGATTGGTTTGTTTCTGTGATGACCTCCAGCTGTTTGAGACCCAGCGAGTGCGTCACGGCATGATGGCCCTGGGCCCCTCTGGTGCCGGTAAGACGTGCTGTATCCACATGCTGATGAAAGCCATGACGGATTGCGGTGAGCCTCACCGTGAGATGAGGATGAATCCTAAGGCTATCACAGCGCCGCAGATGTTTGGACGGCTGGACGTCGCCACTAATGACTGGACGGATGGGATCTTCTCAACGCTGTGGAGACGGACGCTCAGGGCCAAGAAAGGTTAGAACGCAGCAGTTGTCAATTTTAGTTTATTGATTTGAAATTTTAGGTGGGTTATTGAAAATAATTAGGTGACCAATCTGGCTTGGTTAGAAAACTTGTTTTTATGAGCCATAAATGTCAAAATCTGAACCTCACAAAGACAGTTCTCAACTACAGTTACCAACTTTTTGTTAGGCACAGAAATGAACTTTAAATTAGTTTGACATTGTAAAACACAGCTTGTTAGTAATACAAGGATCTCAAATGCTGAAAGTGCTCATATCAACTTGAGTTGGTGCATCAGATGAAATGTTTTCCATTGTTTGTAAGTTTGCAACATATTTTTCCTATGTACTAGAATATTTGCTTCTATGTATGTCACGTAAAAGTTTCATGGAAAATGGGAAAGTATCCTACATACACCAGGAATAAGGGTTATCTGATATATAGTCCAGGCATATCAAAAGTTTGTCCTACAGTCAAATTATCAAAATGCAACAGGATACATTTAAGAAAAAAATTAATACATTTTTAATAAATGAACCCAAAACATTTTTACTTCTGAATAATATACAGAATATTATTATCCTTGATTCATCACGAATATGTTAATGGATCCACAGTTGAAGATATAATATCAATCATGTACCTTCTACTTTGCCATAGGTGAGCATGTGTGGCTGGTTCTTGACGGTCCAGTGGACGCCATCTGGATTGAGAACCTCAACTCTGTCCTGGATGACAACAAAACCCTGACCCTGGCTAATGGAGATCGCATCCCCATGGCTCCTAACTGTAAGATTGTCTTTGAGCCGCACAACATCGACAATGCTTCGCCGGCCACTGTGTCTCGCAACGGTATGGTCTACATGAGCTCATCTGGCTTGAACTGGAAGCCCATCTTAGATGTAAGTATCTGTCCTGTTTTGGTGCGTTCTTGGGATGAACGGTGATATATGAATGTCTTTGGCATTGTGATAGTGATTGATTTGTGATTGGCTTTTGACTGACTTGTGATAACTTTTTATTGTCTTTTGACTGACTTTTGATGAATTATGATGATTTGTGATTGGCTTCTGATGACTTGTAATAACTTATGACTGCCTGCTAATGACATGTGGTACCTTGTGATTGTCTTGTGACTGAATTGTGATGACTAGTGATTGACTTATGATGACTCGACCATAACCCTTGTTTTCTGACACTCCCATTATCTGGCATGACTCTCATATTTCCATTCTCTTGATGCCTGCAGGGTTGGCTGATGAAGCGTAACATGCAGGAAGCAGAGACGATCCGTACCCTGTTTGAGAACTCCTTCCCACTCATCTACACCTTTGCCCTGCAGAACCTCATCTTCAAGATGGATAGCCTGGAGTGCATGGTCATAGCACAGGTGAGTCCGCAGAGCCTTTGCTTTACTCAAAGGTTTAGTTCTAGAAGTGGTGTATCTGGTTCTAGAACAAAAGACGACATCCTTGCAACCAAACAGAAGATGTCCCAGAATTCTCTGTCCAGGAAATCTTGCTTGACATCATCCCTGTCTCGTTTTTACTCCATCTTGTCCTCAGGCCATCACCCTTCTCCAAGGTCTCATCCCCACCAAGGATGACAAGGACGGAGGCAGCGGCTGCTCCGCCGACCATCTTGAGAAGCTCTACCTCTTTGTCGTCATGTGGAGCGTGGGTGCCTTGCTGGAGTTGGAGGATCGCTCCAAATTGCAAGACTTCATCGTGAATCATGAGGAGTTTTCGCTGAACCTGCCGTCCCTCAAACCTGGATCAGATGAGACCATCTTTGACTACTTGATTGACAATGAGGGTAAGTGGCCAGTAGAGTGAAAGCTTTTCAGTATATGGAGCTGTGTTGAAGTGTTGTAGTCAGGCCCATCACAAGCCTTCATAAGTCCGTCACAAGCCTTCACAAGTCTGTCACAAGTCATCACAAGTCCATCCCAAGTTCATCACAACTCATCCAGTCTTAAGCTTTTCAAGTGAACAGTGACAAAAGTATTCCTTTGTTATTGTTCATGCCATGTTGCTTGTGACTGGACTTTTGACAGGACTTGAGATTAAGTTGTGCCTGAACTTTTGATGGACTCGACCACAGCACTGCTGTGTTGCCTTCTCACAAGAACCACTAGTGGAGGCCGCAGTTCAATTGAGCACTTATTCGCGCCCGTATGACACGGAAGTATTCGCAACTTGTTTGCTTTTCAGTGTGCACAAACTTATGGCGTCTTCGCATGGGCACTGGGCAAAAGGCCAAAATTGCATTTAAGTATATGTCAAAATTTGTGTTACCAATACCAGCAAAAATGGCTGATTTGGTTATGTCAACCAAAATATGTAACGAGTGAAATGCCTCTAATCTAACGAAACAATACCTTCTTTGTAATTTGCAAAACTTTTGTTTCTAATTTTCAGGGAATTGGCAGCACTGGAACACCAGAGTCGAGGATTGGATTTACCCAACAGACTCCACCCCAGAGTATGGTTCCATCCTTGTACCCAACGTGGACAACGTACGCACTGACTTCCTGATCCACACCGTAGCCAAGCAGAGCAAGGTAACAAAGCCAATATTGCATTTAAAGGAAAAGCCTTCAAATTCGGATTCGAACCCAAACCTCCTGCTTTACCGTCCATTTTTCCTTGCCTCCTTTCCAGGCTGTTCTGCTTATCGGTGAGCAAGGTACGGCCAAGACTGTCATGATCAAGGGATACATGTCTAAATACAACCCAGAGCAACACATGAGCAAGAGTTTTAACTTCTCCTCCGCAACCACGCCGCTCATGTTCCAGGTAAGAAGACCCTAGTCTCTGTTTTCCTGATCGATTGAGGGCGCTCTCCAATAATATCTTGTGGGTAAAATTTATGGGGATGCTCAGAAGCACAGCGAACTTCTTCTGGTGATTTTGGTAGGAAACGTTTAATCTTAGATTCTGGAAAGGGATGTTAAGAAACATCAATGATGTAGTACATCCAAACTTGTAATGATAATTTCTTTGGTTCCTGGCCTTGGTCATTTTTAGTAGTTGTACATTGAATTCCTGGTATTCAAGGAAAATCTGAAAGAAAAGTAAGATTATAGCTCAGTTAAGATAGCAGAATTCATCACTGGTAAATGACAATTGCTTTTTTTAGATCACTATTCAGACACTGAGTAAAATTAGTTTAAAATTGCGTTACTGGTGCAGTTACTCAGTACTAGTCATCGGTATTCCACTCTGATCATACTGTGGGTCATGATGTTGAGCCATATTTGAAAGTCTGATACACTAAGCTGGTGCGTCAGAATGTTTAAAGCACAGATATGACACAACCTCATCTGTTTTCCTTGATCCAGCGTACCATTGAGAGTTATGTGGATAAACGCATGGGTAACACCTTTGGCCCTCCTGCTGGCAAGAAGATGACTGTCTTTGTGGACGACGTCAACATGCCCATCATTAATGAATGGGGAGATCAGGTAACCAGTAAACTCAATATTTGTCCTCCGGGCTGATGATTTTAGAATGTAGGGACATTTGGATTGCAAATACTTAGTTACAGAAATCTGTGAATTGAGCAGTCTGGCAATGGATTTCACAAAACTAATCTTGACCTAAGACATACTGTTTAGCTCTGTAATACATGAGTGTGACACCGAGTACAATTGGATTATAAGGCCAAAAAAAAAAAGTCTCCGGTTTCTGGTATGCGCGCGCGTCGCCGTAGCCATGCGCGTCGGCAAAATGAAATTTTTTTTTTTTCAATGAAAGATGATGTCTCAAAACCGCCAAACTCACTGGTTTGACTGGAATCCTGCTGCTGCACGATTTTAATGTGTTTTTAGATTGGGTTATGGTCGAGAATAAGCTTTATGTGGCCTCTCTGGACTCCCATATATTTGTACTAAGTTTAGTCTGGCACCATTTGCAGTCATCAGCCGACATTTGAAGCAAAAAAATCAGGTAAAAAAAAAAAAGGCCGCGTCGCCACACCACTTTTTGGGCAAGCTCCATACCAGAAATCGGAGACTTTTTTTTTTGGCCTTAGCGTGAGTCAATAACTATTCTAATATCCATGTATTTACTCTGTATACAATATTTTGATGTTCAGGTCAGATTTCTCAAATATTTTCTCAAGAACTTTCAAATGATTAGAGAAATAAATATCAATATTCCTGTATTTTGATTGAAAAATAGGCCTGTACTTTGATATCTAGATAGAGAATTATCTAATTCCACTTCCAACAATTTTTATGTTGATCGTGTTTATAAAACTACATTGGCAAAGTGCAAAACCAAGAATCATGCCTATTAGAATGCATATTCACCATCTCGTGTTTGATTTCATAAGTTTTAAGTGTTTCAAGTTGTAAATACATCGTTCTTATATTGTAGTACCAGTATGTCCTGGCACAGTAATGCATCACAAACTTCATGTTGTCTTCTCTTTGCCTACTGTTAGATCACCAATGAGATCGTCCGTCAGATGATGGAATTTGGCGGTTTCTATAATCTAGAGAAACCGGGCGATTTCACCATCATCGCTGATATTCAGATGATGGCAGCTATGATTCAACCAGGCGGTGGAAGGAATGACATCCCACAGAGACTCAAGAGAGAGTTCTCCATCTTCAACTGTACTCTGCCGTCCAATTCCTCCATCGACAAGATCTTTGGTCAGTCACTGGAAAAACTGTTTCTTGAAGTATTTTCATAAAGGGTTGAAAAAGGGCACAAGCAACCTTGCCCCCAAACCAATTTTAAACACCCACCTTCCTCTTTTTGAAGTGGGGAGGGCGCAGAATCCACTATTTACAAAAGCTGACTCAACCTTTTGACAATTTTCTTTTATTGATGTATTGACCCATTTGAGTTCGCAGACCTGTACGATAGTGCATATTCACACATGTTTTCGATTTGAAAAATATCCCAATATTCTCACACATTTATCTTGAAATGTTACTTAAATAACTAAGGTACTCATGGTCAAATGAGGATATGTAACTTATACGGACTCTAATTTTGGGACTAGCCCTGTAAAATATTACAGCGAGGTTGTTAAATAATCTTGGTTCTTTTTAAAATTTTGTTGTGATTGTTGAATGTTGTAATTTCTTTGTAGGTGTGATTGGTTCTGGCCATTACTGTCCCGAGCGTGAGTTCAAGGAAGAAGTCAGGGAACTAGCCAAAACACTGGTCCCCATCACCCGCAGGCTGTGGCAACTTACAAAGGTAGGTGGTTCCCTACATAGTCAGATACCATCATAATTCTTGCCTCAGTGATTAACCCTGACTTCGCATCAGTATTTTTCATGTCACTTCAGTGAGTTAGCAGTTTGCAGCAATAAGTTTCTCACTGTTTGTGACACGAATCATCTTTTACAGATCAAGATGTTACCCACACCAGCCAAGTTCCACTACGTCTTCAATCTCCGTGATCTGTCTCGCATCTGGCAAGGAATGATCAACACGTTCTCTGAGGTGGTGAACTCACAGAATGTCCTCATGTGGCTCTGGAAACATGAATGTATGCGTGTCATCGCTGATCGATTCACCAATCCACAGGTAAGTAAGAGTTGTAAACAAGTCGTCACAGTCATCACAAGTCAATCACAAGTCAATCACAAGTCAATCTCAAGTCAATCATAAGTCAATCAAAAGTCAATCGCAAGTCAATCACTAGTCAATCTAAAGTCAATCACTAGTCAATCACAATTTAATCACAAGTCAATCACAAGTCAATCACAAGTCAATCACAAGTCAATCTCAAGTCAATCACAAGTCAATCACAAGTCAATCACAAGTCAATCACAAGTCAATCACAAGTCAATCACAAGTCAATCACTAGTCAATCACAAGTCAATCACAAGTCAATCACAAGACAACACAAGCCAATCACAAGCCAATCACAAGTCAATCACAAGTCAATCTCAAGTCAATCACAAGTCAATCACAAGTCAATCTCAAGTCAATCACAAGTCAATCACAAGTCAATCTCAAGTCAATAACAAGTCAATCACAAGTCAATCACAAGACAACACAAGCCAATCACAAGCCAATCACAAGTCAAATCACAAGTCAATCACAAGTCAATCACAAGTCAATCTCAAGTCAATCACAAGTCAATCACAAGTCAATCACAAGTCAATCACAAGTCAATCACAAGTCAGTTAAAAGACAATCACCAGTCAATCACAAGTCAATCACAAGTCAATCTCAAGTCAATCTCAAGTCAATCACAAGCCAATCCCAAGTCAGTCACCAGTCAATCACAAGTCAATCACAAGTCAATCACAAGTCAATCACCAGTCAATCACAAGACCATTACAAGTCATCACAAGTCAATCACAAGTCAATCACAAGTCAATACCCTCATTGAGATACTTTTAGGTAGGCTCAGTCTAATGCTAAGACACTCCCTCTTAAAGCCCTTTGAAGAAACTTTTAAATGAACCTCTTTTTCTCTGTCAATTCTTCAGGACACTGAGTGGTTCAAGAAGACCATGTCTCGTGTGATAGGAGAGGAGTTAGGGGAGCAGTTACAGAGCTATGTAGAACATGATCACTTCTTTGTGGATTTCATGAGGTGAGAGTCTTAGACTTTTCAGGAAATTGCAAACAACATTTGTAGGACCAAAACCAATCTTAAAGTAAGAGCTTCTATTGTGCTGGTTCATGTTATAGATTCAATATTGTTTTTTTTTTTTCACACGAAATATTGAATTTGCAACTCCCAAATGGAAAATTACATCCCACAAAATAGCAATTACCATAGATTGTTGTCACAGATTTTTCATACTTGTATATTGAGGATTGTTGCACACCAGAAACGATTCCTACATTTTCTTGCAGCGTTTTGTGATTTTGCACCAATGAGGGTTTTATTGTGCGTTTGCACTTTCTTTTCTTAATAGATGTTTTTTTAAACAATCAAGGTCTAATTTTCATTGAGGTACTATACAGATACTATTTTGCATAGCATATTTGCTAAGCAAAATTTTGCCAAGAACCATACATACTCGTACACCTCATATTGCATTTTGACTGGTAAACTTTTATTTTCCGCCCAACAGGGATGCAGCGGAAGCGACAGGCGAGGAGCCCGACGACGCAGACTTTGACATGCCCAAGGTCTACGAGCCCATCGAGTCGTTTGAAGTCTTGGAGGAACGCCTACAGATGTTCATGGGGCAGTACAATGAGAGCATCCGAGGAGCCAACATGGATCTGGTGTTCTTCAGGGATGCCATGATACATCTTGTCAAGGTAGTTCAAATGTGCTCTCATCCCAAAAAAAATCTGGGGGCTGCCTAATTCGACTTCGATCTTTTTAACGCAGTGATAAAATGTGACTTAATCCAATAAATTTAGATCGATTTTGGAAGTGTTTCGCTTTTATTGAAAGACCTGTGAAAAACCTGCAATGTGACACAAAAATACACCATTATTTTTCCTTTGTTGTTTTCAAAGTCAATTAAAAGTAATTTCCTAAGTCAGATCTCAGTAACTGAGGATGAATGAAAGAGGACAGCCGTTATCTACAGTTCACCTGGATAGCTTGTTACTTGACTTGAGACTGGAGGCTAGTGTAGACATCTGAGGACTCGTTAAGAATTCAACTACAACACTGTTTCTTTCTGTTCAGATTTCCAGAGTGATTCGCACCCCTCGAGGTAACTCCCTTCTGGTGGGTGTTGGAGGCTCAGGCAAACAGAGTCTCACCAAGATTGCGTCCTTTATAGCTGGCTACAAGACATTCCAAATCACACTAACAAGGTAAAGCTAAAACTACCCGTTATTTAGTTAATTGATTGGTGGTGGAAAAGTCCATTGTATTCAACTGTTGGACTAGAGGCGGTAGCTTAGTAGATTCCTCTGTGATATCAGTGCTTACTATTCTTATGAATCTGGTGTGCTCAAACAGTGGAGACATGAAAGGAGCTTAAACCACACTTTTTAACGCATCGAGTCATTGTTTTTTTTATTTATTCAGTTATAGAATCAACAGATCAAAACACTTTTAATTTAAATGTTAGCAAAGTTGTAAATTGATCCCCGATTCATGCCTTCTATTCTATTTTTTTTTTTGGCCATTCTTTATTTGACTTTCAAGAGATGATATTTATTGGGTATAATCCTTCTGTTTTACCATTTAATATCTCAGTCTCAAAAAATTTATCTTTTGTCATGCCATCTTTGACAAGTTCTTCGTTCCTTTTTCTAAGATCTTTCGGGCTTTTTAAAAGTACGGGTTTTACAACTGCAAAATAATGAAATAATGTTAATTGTTTTGTTTTATAAATGTCAAGATCCTACAACCAGTCCAACCTGATGGAAGATCTGAAGGTATTGTACCGGACTGCCGGCCAGCAAGGCAAGGGAATTACCTTCATCTTCACTGACAACGAGATCAAAGAGGAAAGCTTCTTGGAGTATCTCAATAACGTGCTGTCATCGGGAGAGGTGAGTGAGGCTTAAACAGACAGTGACAATGACGGTAATGATCACAAAAATCTGGTGACACATTGGTGACAAAAATGACAACAATAACTAACCTTGACAGGTGTGTTGAACTTAAATAGACAGAGACAATTATAGCAATTGTCACAGTGATTGTTGTAATACTTGTGCCAGTAGTGATAGTAACGACAACCATAATGGTGACAATGACATCAAGATGAAAGCTTTTTGAAATAGCTCAGTAACGTGCAGTCTTCAGGAAAAATGAGTGGAAATTTCCAGAGTAGACTTTGGCAGTGACTGAAAAGGGACAATGCCACAAAGTGACAATGACATTACAGAGGAAGTCTTGGAGGACGTCTCATTGTCACCCGTTGGACAGGTGAGTGGAACAGTGGGTGAAAAAATGACAGTTTTAATTTTGAAGATGTCGAAATTAAGGACAGTATCCTAGAATACCTAAAGGGGTACCTCAAGGAGTACCAAGGATTTGAAAATGACAATGGTCAGTCCTTGTGACAGTGACTTCTTTGTAATGACAACTTCCACATTTCTGTGACAGGTGTCCAACCTGTTTGCCCGTGATGAGATTGATGAGATCCAGCAAGAATTGATTCCAATCATGAAGAAGGAATACCCACGCCGACCGCCGACGACTGAGAATCTCTACGACTACTTCATCACTCGCTCCAGGCAGAACCTCCACGTTGTACTCTGCTTCTCACCTGTAAGCCAATGATTTTTGTTTTACAAATCAAAATTGCTCAGTAATTTTAGCATTTTGCAGTGTACATTTTGGCCAAGAGCTGCATAATTCAAATTTCCCTCAATGGCAGAGTTAATCTTCTAAGGCCACTTCTAATTTTGATTTTTATCTCAAATTTGCTATTTAATTACAGACTTCTTCAGTTCGAAATGGAAGCTCGCCAAAAATTTTACCCATTAAAATTCAGGGTTCACTTTTTTTTTAGAGATTTCGTTGATTTTAGCAAAAATATTGTAAAAATATAACTTTGCTTTTAAAAATAAGTTTTGACTAAGAGTCAGAATGGTGTTATTATAATTTTGGAATACTCACTTCAAAATTCTGACTGAGCTAATTTATGTCATTTAGAACAATGCAACAGTCATTTAGAACAATGCAACAGCAGTTTTGTATTCTGTTTTTACTTTTAAATCTTCCCATTGTTTCTTGAAACGTAGGTAGGAGAGAAATTCCGCAACCGAGCCTTGAAGTTCCCCGGTCTGATCTCAGGCTGTACCATTGATTGGTTCAGCCGATGGCCCAAGGACGCCCTCATTGCTGTCGCTGACCATTTCCTGGCGTCGTTTGACATCGCGTGTACGGACCCCGTCAAGAAACAGCTGGTCCAAGCCATGGGTACCTTTCAGGATGGCGTGGCTGAGTCCTGCGTGGAGTATTTCGAGAGGTAAGATCAACTTCATTTTCATAACGTTTCCTTATTGAAGTGTTCTAGTGACAGTTAACCAGTTTGCAAATTATTCAGGAGGAAACTCAAAGCATTGTGGGTTGCCTGACGCTGTGATCATGCATATGCATTCCCTGGTTTTGCTTCATACACATGCTGAAGTGTTGACCATTGGTCACAAGTATAATAAAATGTCCAATGAGAGCTCTCATTGCAATAAAACATGGTTTATTTACTGGAAAAAAAAGAATTTTGTCAGAACTGTACCACTTTTCATCAAATTTTTTGAAAAATCCATTTGAAAGCTTGTTAGCAAAGCTACGAGTGATTGCTGAGGCACATGTTGAAATGGCTGAAGCACATGTAGAAATGGCTAAAGCACATGTAGAAAGGGCTAAAGCACATGTAGAAATGGCTAAAGCACATGTTAAAATGGCTAAAGCACATGTAGAAATGGCTAAAGCACATGTCGAAATGGCTGAAGCACATGTAGAAATGGCAAAATAAATGCCAGTTAAAAAGGTAGTCAAGGTAGAAAGCTGTACATTTAATAATAAATGAAAAGACGCAGTAATGATCTTGCAGGTTGACAACATATCTAGGGAGCCATAGTGACAAATTTTGTATTCACAATCCAAAAATTCACTCCTCAGGTTCCGTCGGGCGACCCACGTCACCCCCAAGTCCTATCTATCCTTCATCGCCGGCTACAAGAACATCTACTCCCTGAAGTTTGGTGAGATCAACGAGTTGTCCAACCGGATGACCACCGGTCTGGATAAGCTAGTGGAGGCTTCTCTGTCTGTCGCTGAACTCAGCAAAGAGCTGGCCGTCAAAGAGAAGGAGCTCGCTGTGGCTTCCAAAGAAGCTGAAGTGGTAAGTAACTGCGGGGCTCAATTTTATGGAGCCATTAAGCAAAGAAATATTGCTTAGCAGATTTATGTGCTTAACAAAATTTTGCTGAGTAGTATACATTGTATGACGTTTTGGTTGGTAACCCGTTTCTGCTGAGCAAATATTTTTTGAGCTTTCCAAACTCTATGTCATGCTCACTGCAGATAAAACGATAAAAAATTATTATGCTTATCGTTTATGTTTGAGCCTCGACAAGTTCATTATTCTGGTACTAAATCTAATCTAGGAATGAAGAATTGGTCAAAAATGCTTGTAAACTGAAGTTTCATCTGTACCGTTGGACCATTCTTGATTTGGCCTAGGTTCCAACCACTTGCGACGTGTTTAAGACCACGCATTTCGGACTTTGGTTGGGTATTTGGCCTTGCAGTCATAGCTGTGATTGGTCCAAACATTATGGGGCGTGGATTAAATGATCAGTCAATTGTGTTTCATACTTACCACTGAATTATTACAATTATTTCCTTTCTTTAGTCATAGGTGAAGCACTTTTTTTAATGGATTTTGTTTTTCCCCTAAATGCTAGGTTTTGGCAGCTGTGACCCAAAAGGCGCAGGCTGCTGAAAAGGTCAAAGCCCAGGTGCAGAAGGTTAAGGACAAAGCCCAGGCCATTGTGGATGAGATCAATGTAAGTGTGACCCCTGACCCATGACACTTGACCTTGGCAAAGTTAATCATTTGCTTGTCATCAGCTCTTGATGAAACTATCTTCTGATATGAATGTTCTTTTCAGGATGATAAAGGGGATTAGAACAACATTATTTTGACGTCAACAATTTTATGTTCTCACACCAAAACTGCGTTGTAAGCCTACAAGCGTAGCATTCTGTAAAGAGTGCTCACAACGGGCAGAGTATACTGTCCAAAAAGATTGGGTCCCCCGGTTCTTTTCAGAATCTCACAAACTCACAAAAGAGATTTGTGACATGGTGCTACTGTAAATATGAATCGTATTGCTATCGTCACCATGCAAACCTTCAATTCCTATTCTGGAAAGAAATTTGGAGTACAGATTTCTTTTTCGTGACCTAATTGTGAGTATGGTTTCAGAGCAGATTTTGTGGACCCCATTTTCTTTTCATTCCTCCTTTATCCATAATTTTGAATAAAAGTCATATTGTGGGTTCCATAATGTGATGAAGCATCATATCCATAGCGTCTTAAAGTACAGAAAATGAAATAAATAACAAAATCAAAAATGACTTCTGTTTATAGGCGGATAAAGCCATAGCCTTGACTAAACTAGAAGCGGCTAAGCCAGCCCTGGAGGAAGCTGAAGCAGCCCTTAACACCATCAAACCGGCAGACATAGCCACAGTGCGTAAGCTGGGTAAGCCACCGTCGCTGATCCAGCGTATTATGGATTGCGTACTGCTGCTGTTCCAGGTCAAGATTGAGCCGACATCCATGGATCCTGATCGGCCGAGTCCCAAGGCTTCTTGGGGTCTCTCACTCAAGGTAGGTCACCTACTAGATCTCTATCTTGACCCAACAAACTGATCCATTAGCCCCGCCCACTCCCAGAAATTAAACTTTTCCGATTGTAATCGGAATACCGACTTTTTCAAATTTATTTCCAAAACTGTGTTTTTTTTCTAATGATCTTTGCCCTGCAAAGTTTGACTTTTTAATTAAATTTCAACGAATTTGATGAAAACAGCACCGCGATATCTGTATTGACCTATCACGGTAGAATCGCGTCGATGCAGCTTGTGAAATATTGTCCAATTACATGGACGTGGAATGCGCGCAGTCTGAGACAAGCAAAACTTAACATACAAAATTCCATAGGGTTGTCTTATGGGCGTGGCTAACTCGCAAACGGCGATAGGTCAATTGCCAGTTTGTTCTACTAGTCGTCATCACACAGATTGTATGGTAGGCACACAGAAGTAAGCCCGGATCGGAGGTTTTTTATTTAGGGGAAGGCCCATTTTCATCATAAATGTTCATGCATTGGATGATTCTCTGAACATGTTACTTACTTACCATACCGTTTATCACTATATTTAACGGATGTTGTTTTGCAGTTGATGGGTGGTGGTGGATTTCTGGGTAATCTTCTGAAGTTCCCCAAGGACTCTATCAACGAAGAGACCGTGGAATTGCTGGGACCGTACCTAGACTCCGAAGATTACAACTTGGAAACTGCCAAAAAGGTCAGAAAGAAATACTCTCTGGTTAATCCTAACCCGCCAAGATTCAGGAAGGTAGTGCACAGCCAATATTACTTTATATTTAGGGTCAATGCATCTTGAAAGTTTCAAGTACAAAAAGGTGCCTTTGGTTTCAAGAAGAGTAGACAATAAGCCATTTGCGAGTTAAATTTGAATAAAATCTGGAACGCTGTCTTGCTTTGCATGTTTTAACTTTGCAATCTCCCGACCAAAGAGACTGTTACTATATCACGTGATTCGGGGCAAGCCTTATGCTAGCAACCCCAGCTCCGGCATGGTCTGGTGTCTTTGTGCCATTCTCACCCATTGTGAGCAATGTATTGGTGCTGAGTGTCTCTTACGTAACTATGCAAGAGCTTGCCCCGAATTATGTGATTAGCAACAGTGTCTTTGGTCTGGAGAATTCAACATTAAAAAATGCCAAGCATTCTGAGCAAGTCAGTGTACCAGATGTTTTTCAAATTTAAATTCCAAAGGGTATAGGTCACTCGCAAATGGCTTATTAAGGGGGATTTTGATAGGTTCCTCACATAGTGAGAGTGACAGATACTGATAAATTGTTGTTTTATTCACATTTTATACAGTTTCATTTCTTACTTTCTAATATTCAGGTATTTTCTCTAGTTTAGGCCAAAAAAAAATAATATTCGGCCTCTGGTCAGACCAAAGTTCCGGAATTGACGCGGGGACGCGGCTTTTTTTTTTTTTTTTTGCTTTTTTTTTTTTTCTTCAAGCTTGGATTGTACAGACAAGGTGGGGTACTATTTTGCTTTTTTGGTGTCCTCATGTACATTGGTGTCCTCCATAATTTGCCTTGGTTCTCTCGATCATTTGCCTTGTTGCAATTTCCCATTCCTCGGTGCTCTTTGGTAAAAAAAATTGAGGAGGTGCGGCAATAGAGGGCGCTGTTGGAGCTACCGCGGAACATCTTTTGAAAAAAAAATTGACGCGCATGGTTAAAATCGACGCGCGCTGACCAGAGACCGACTTATTTTTTTTTTTGGCCTTATTATAAATGAGTGACAAACATTGAATTGTTTAATGAATTGGTAAGAAATGAATATAATTTGTTTTTGGCTGTGATTGTTTGACAGGTGTGCGGCAATGTGGCTGGTCTGTGCTCATGGACCAAAGCCATGGCCTTCTTCTATGGAATCAATAAAGAAGTGCTTCCTCTTAAGGTAAACAACTCTTCTTTGTTTGTTACAAAATATTTTAGAACTAGTAATGGTGGCCAGTTGAAGGATTATGCAGTCTCACTTGTCGTGGGTTCAGGGTATGGTTAACAAGTCAAAATGCACACACAAGAGCAGTGGGGTACATGAAGGTCTGCCAGGGGGATCGTTGTGAAAGTAGTACATTCATGTTTAAAGACTTTATGCTGAACAACTGGGTCAAATTACATAGCGCTGCTGAACAGCCGATTTTGTGCTTACTAAGCCTCGATCTATTTCAAAGAGACTGTAATCAGTAAGCACAGCAAGAGCACGCTTAACCCCAGGATAAGTTGCTTGAATCTGTGACGTAACAATAGAAATCTCCATGTGCGTGCAACCGTTAGCACATCCACGCCATGAAATAGTGCTTAAAGCAAGCAGCATGATTTTCTGCTATAGTAAGCTTAGCGTTTCTGCTAACTGTTAAGCAGCGCTATGAAATTGGGCCATGGTGTTACAGCCGTGTGACCACACCATATCAGATATTTGTACTTGTTAAAAATGTAAATTGATGTAACTTTGCGTCTCTCACCAGGCCAATCTGATAGTTCAGGAAGCCAGGCTGGAGGTAGCTAACAAAGACTTGGCTAAAGCCCAGGCCCAACTTGACGAGAAACAGAAGGAGTTGGATGCCGCCCAGGCAGAGTACGATGCTGCCATGAAGAAGAAGCAGGTAGGAAAACACTTCTTATCAGAAATCAGAAATGATACGGAGAAAGTGAGACAATCTATACCTGGAAAAGTTTCAGACAGCATCGCCATTATGTGTGGTTATTTTATGGAGCACACTATCAGTAGGATGTGTCTTACGTTAAAAAAATATGAAGATATGAAGGCCTGGTAATTTAACCAATCACATTTTTGGTGTAATCAGCAATAAATGTTGAGTCTCATATGTCTCCTGTATTTGTATTATTTGTAATAAACTCCTGACTTGAGTTTGATCAAACTTGAGTGTCGTGTCAAGTGATCCAAGGCTTTACTGTTGTGACCACGTTCTCTCAGGGTTTTTTTGGTTCATGGATTATATGGAAAAGAATTCTTGCTTTCTTAATATATAATGGCAATACACAGTTTCTTCAAGTTGGTCTTCAAAAACCTGCCTTCTTGCTTCAATAACACTGCAAATGCTATACACCTTGCTTTGGATGTATTCTTATAATCAATGAGCTATCAGAGTAAATGTTTGACATATGACTAATTCTTAGGATGTATGTGTAATTTTTAGTAGTATTTGTAATTTCAACTGTTATTGGGCATTTTGGCCTCGAAAGTTTAATAAAAATAAACCATGGGTAACAGAGATGAAACTTTTCAGATTTTAATCTGAAATCAGATTTTTAAAACTTTTCCAATGAAATTTCAGATTTTTTAACCATCCCTCAAAAATGATTTTTTTTTAAGGATTTTCCACAAAATGTTTTTTTAAATATTATTTCCAAGAAAAGTCAATGAAAATGGCAAGTAAAATGTGCACAAGTGTAAAACAACTAGACTAACACTGATCAGATGCTTTCCGGCTGGAGAAAAGGTTCAATACTGACCTATGACATTGATGCGCTGTGCTTTTTGCCAAAGCCAGTTTCATCTCTGGAGTAATAATAATAATAATCACTGATCAACAATACTAAATGTTTAAGATGTGATTATTTTCTTAGGACCTTCTTGATGATGCGGAGACGTGTCGCCGTAAGATGAACTCAGCCTCAGCTCTGATCAACGGCTTGGGTGGTGAGAAGGAACGGTGGACGCAACAAAACAAAGAATTCAAAGCCGCTATCGGAAGGTTAGTTACAGAAATCCAAAACACACTTTAAAACACAAACTGCTCGAAAGATTTAAGGTGTGACCAATGCCCTATCTATACACAGCTCAGTTGGTGGAGCACCTGAATGGTATTCAAGAGGGCGCAGGTTCAAAACCCGCTTCGGTCAATATTTTCATTCAACTTCAAAAATATTATAAATGTACCTAGTCAGTTTTCCTCTATGGTTTTTGAAAATTTGATATTTAAGTAATGTGCTATTGAGTCCTAACGTTATATCTTCATCCGGTTTTAAATGCATTTAATTATGACTTACATACGTAAGGAAAACAAATTAAATACATTTCTTTTTCTTGTTAAAAAAATTTTTTTGCAAGCTACTGATCATCCCACAATCAATTTAAAGAGAAAATAGCTAACTGATATATTCAAGAAAAAGCTTTGTTTCTTTAAAATCAAAATAAACCTTTTACTACTGAACCGTATGATGTTTGTCTTTGGGTGGAGAGAGTCAATTGTGGTGAAGTGGCTTGCCCAAGGACACAAAATAATGGCTAATAATAAGATTTGAACCCCTGACCTCAGAACAAATGAATCTTATCTGTGTGTTATACTTTACTCGTTACAGGTTGGTTGGAGACGTCTTACTAGCCACCGGCTTCCTATCCTACGAGGGACCGTTCAACCAGGAGTTCCGTACTCGGCTTCTCCAGGATTGGAAGAAAGAGTTGAAGTCACGCAAGATTCCTTACAGCACCAACATCAACCTGATTGAGATGCTGGTTGATAACCCTACGGTAAGCTCCTTGATAGTAAAGGTCATCCCAAAGAAATGTGGCTCATCAGGCCGGCATTTATCTCCGGTTTCAGAGGCATGAAACAACTGAGAATATTTCTCTTCCCCGTGGAAGGCACGCCAGTCCATCGCAGATTGCTCCCAGCTAATGCTGGTGCCAATTATTCTGCTGGGGGGGGGGGGGGGGGAGAGAGTCAATTGGGGTGAAGTGGCTTGCCAAAGGACACAAAATAATGGCTAATAATAAGATTTGAACCCCTGACCTCAGAACTGAGTTTGTAGATCAACCGTGTGAATTGACTGCAAAGGCAAATGGTTCTGAGATAAAGTCGCTGTTATTTCTTCAAACCACCTCCTCTTCAGAGTAGTCACTTCACATATCAATTAAATTCTCCCGACTTCTGGCATATCCACAAACTTCTTCCAAGTTGTACTCTCTACCATACAAAGTCTCAGATCACATTGACATCATGATCCTTGTTTCTTTCTTTGTCCAGATTGCGGAGTGGAACATGCAGGGTCTGCCCAACGATGAGTTGTCCATCCAGAACGGTATCATTGTCACCAAGGCTGCTCGCTTCCCATTGCTGATTGACCCACAGGGGCAGGGGAAGATATGGATCAAGAATAGAGAGGCCAAGAATGAAATGCAGGTCAGTAGTTGGTGTAAGAAGCTTCTGCTTTGGGTAATAGTAAGTATATGACCCTCAGGAACAGGAGAAGATATGGGTCAAGATTTGAGCTTTTTATCAGCGGTAGATATTTAAAAAAAAAATAGTTTATATAAAAAAATAATTTCCTACTTCATCCTCCTCTTGCAATCCCAGTTGACGTCCTTGAACCACAAGTACTTCAGGACCCATCTTGAGGACTCCCTATCCCTGGGCAGACCACTAATGATCGAAGACATCGGTGAGGAGCTGGACCCTGCGTTGGACAACGTCCTGGAAAAGAACTTCATCAAGAGTGGAAGCACCTTCAAGGTAAACACTGTAGCAAAGATCAGATGACAATATCATTTGGTTTTATGTTCTGTATACTCTTTATTGTCTGAAATCTCGTGTCTCAGAACTTGGCCAGCACTGAGCATAAAGTTCTTCTATGGATGTTAGTTTTGCAATAAGTCGGATTAATTGAGCAACTCTTTGAGCCGATGTGCAAAACAATCTTGTATTTCTTGTTAATATTGTAATATGTACTCCAATAAGTGAACATGCAGGGGCGGACCCAGCTTTCATGAAACGGGGGGAGGGGTGTTGGTGTTGAGTGAAGGCGTGCCGAAAGCATGCCCTGCTAGTGGGATCCAGAGGCGTACCCTGCGATGCTTGCTCTTGCATTCTAAGGCAATTTGAGAATAAATTTAGGAACTCAAACATTCCATTCGGTCAGCGGCTGAAGGGGGAGGGGGGTGCAACCCCCAAACACACCTCCCCCCAGATCCGCCACAGAAATGTTTAACAGTCAACAAACAAGCCCTCGGTCAAGTCACAGTGTTTGGACAGTACATCTAAATGTGAATTCCTGAAAAAAAACTCTGTGTTGATTTTGAACGATAAAGTCAGACAATGCAGCGTGGCACTTTCTCCGATAATCTAGGGTTGTAATCTGGATCCCTCTCTAAGGATTGATTTTTGTCGGTCCAACAGGTCAAAGTAGGTGACAAGGAAGTTGACGTCATGGACGGCTTCCGTCTGTACATCACTACTAAGCTACCCAATCCAGCATACACTCCGGAGGTCAGCGCTAAGACATCCATCATTGACTTCACTGTCACCATGAAGGGTCTTGAGGATCAGCTGCTGGGCCGGGTCATCCTGACTGAGAAGAACGTAAGTCAAGACACTTGTCTTGGGTTTGTGTTCTCCTAAAACCAATATCTCCAGGCATTTTTACTTGGAATCCTTCAAGTCTTTCAGTATGCAGTAAGCCATAGTTAATTCTTTGTCCTTAGACTTTCAAAGACCATCAGGCCTTATGTACTAGCCTGCGGTACATACACTTGGACAAACTGTTGGAAGATTATGAAAATAATTTTTCAACTTTCAAAATGGGCTTATGGAAAAAAACCCACTAAAAACACCTGTATGAAACTGTAATATCTCATTCGAATATTTTTGAAATTGTAAAATAATCTTCAAGTTAGGTTAGTCAAGTTTCATGAGGGCTAGTAAAATAATATGGTGATGTTGCCTATTAAAGTGGGTTGTGAAGAACATGCAAAAGGAAAAGACCTTGGGCCAATTTCATAGAGCTGCTTAAGCACAAAATTTGCTTAAGCACAAAAACGTCTTGCTTAATAAAATCAGGTTACCGGCCAAAACTCCATGCGATTGTTATGCTAAGTAAACAACAGCTAAATACCAGTTACAAGCAATGTACATCACATGGAGTTTTGGCCGGTAACCTAATTTTACTAAGCAAAGTTTTTTCGTGCTTAAGCAAATTTTCTGCTTAAGCAGCTCTATGAAATTGGGCCCTTATTTCGTTCAACTTTTTCTTATTTAAGAGAGAAAGAATCAACCAAGTCCTAAAACATGTGGGGAAATGGTTCTGAAACTTGAGTGTATAATGTTGGGAACATTGTTACAAGTCAACACATTCAAATAATTTGCATCAAGATACTCAAAACAGGTACCTCCCATTTGTTGTGTTTTTAGGAACTGGAAGCAGAACGCACCAAACTGGTGGAGGACGTCACCAGTAACAAGCGTAAGATGAAAGAGCTAGAAGATAACCTGCTATACCGCCTGACGAGCACCCAGGGGTCTCTGGTGGACGATGAGTCCTTGATTAGTGTCTTATCCAACACTAAGACCACCGCGGAGGAGGTCAGTCAGAAACTACAGGTGGCTGCTGAGACGGAAGTCAAGATTAATACGGCTAGAGAAGAATTCAGACCAGGTAAGGGATAAATACTCGGTGGTGAATGAAAACATCGCGTAAATAAAACCCAATCTCTCCGTAACCCTAACCCTGCCAGAGGGAACAGTGCATCAGGTGAAAAGTCTGTTGCACTTTGATGCATTCAGCTACCAACACCAGCTCATAAACGGCAAATTCTGAGACAGTGAGAGCTAGTCCCTTAGACCAATGCCACAGTTGTATCCTGCTGCATTTGGTGACCATGGGGACTCTGAGGCAGTGTGGCCTTGAGACTTTTGACCTGATGGATCTTGCCACACTGGGCAGGCTTGTCACTTAGACAAGTGTTGCATGTTGCTGCGTTTGGCAGGATTTCTGGTCAAAATCCCCTGGAGGGTTAGGGTTAAAGATGTCCCAAGTGCAAGACGTGCATCTGTGTTTCGCAATTTTAGTAGCAGTATGCCACTGGAAACCTCAAGAATGGACATGCCTACTGCTCTCGTTTACAGCTAACCTCCTACCTTTTCCTAAATTATGATCCTCCCCGATAGTTGGTATTCTGTTAGTTTTACAGAAGGGGACATTTTTAAAGAAGCCGTCATGATCATTGTGGTCACGAAAATGTGGATAATGGGAGGACTGTATCCTGCAAAATGTGAAGTCACATAGTAACAGCCCAGTAATGTCCCGAGTTGGATAGTTATGTGATATTTTTGTACTTGTGTTACCAGTGGCCAACAGAGGCAGTATCCTGTACTTCTTGATCACTGAGATGAGCATGGTGAACGTCATGTACCAGACTTCGTTGAAGCAGTTCCTGGGCCTGTTTGATCTGTCCATGACAAAGTAAGTTTGCCGATCCATTAAAAAAAAAAAACCTTCACTGAAGCTTTACTTAACATTTTACAAAGCTGGAAAGTTTATGCCAATAAAGTTTTAAGCCTCACTAAAAAAAAACAAGAACTAGTTTTACTAAGGCATATCTTTTGGTGATAGTTACTTTAATTCTGGGGACTTTTTGAAATGTTGTGCGAACTTTTTGAACTCGGTGGTAGTGTGTCACTTTAATTGGAAAGACCTTGTGCGGTGCCTCTTCAGGAGAAATCACGAACTTCAGTGGAGGTCACAAGTTGAACATTTCTGCTTAATCTAAAATTATAATCGGACCATGTATTGACACTTGTTTCCGTTTTGCCAGTTTATCAGTGTCTCTTTTGGTAAAATAATGTTTCTTTCACAATTCACAGTTCAACGAAGAGCCCCATTACAAGCAAGCGTATTGCCAACATCATTGAGTTCATGACCTTTGCTGTGTACAAGTACGCCGCTCGTGGCTTGTACGAGAGTGACAAGCTGATGTTCACCATTCTCCTGACCCTCAAGGTCGATATGGTCGGTGGGAAGGTCAAACATGAGGAGTTCAGCACGCTCATCAAAGGTATTCTTATTGACGTCAGAAGTTATTGTAATATTTGTAAAAGTTTTACAGGACCAAAAAACTCGGATCCTAGAACTATCTCGCAAAGCCGTATCCTCTCCAAGGTCCTTTTGCGAAAGATTGTGTTAGGACTGAATGCCAGGCCTGGATAAGTTTACGATGTGTGTGTTTCTTGCTCTTGTTGGTAAGCTGTTTGTGGAAGCTTTTTATTTCGTACATAATTACAACTATTTTGTGTTGTAGAATGACAGTATCGTTCCTTGTATTCATTTTTATTAGGGGGGGGGGGGGAGTGGGGTGGGGGTGGCAGGGTGAATCGTTTACTCAAACACTCTCACATTCGAAATTTAATTCTCGGGTTTGTTTGATTTTTTTTATGTATTATGAACTGAACAACCTAGCACTACGTCTTCATACAGTGCTAAATGTCCAAATTTTGTTGAAGTCCAAATAATGTACCATTGTGTAAGGTAAAGCACTGAATTTGGATGGATCCATGAATTTGAATACAGTGAAATATCGACAAGTCAAAACCTGCTAACTCGAAAACCCTTCTTAATCATAGTAAGAACTTATTCCCGTCAATTGTTGTTGAAAAGAAAATCCATTTGCTAACTCAAAACTCTGCTTAAATTAAAAATTTGAGTCCATTCCCCTAAGGTTTGCCTTATCGGGATTTCACTGTAGTAGGGATTGGCCCCTCAGGAAGGGTTTCTAGTATTTTAGGAAGATTCAGGAATCATGGCCAGCCAGGGTGTATGGGTTCATGAGTGTTGCTAATCCCACGTGTCTGTGCCTACAGGTGGTGCTTCCCTGGACCTGAAGGCCTGTCCTCCCAAACCCTGCAAGTGGGTCCTTGACATCACCTGGCTGAACCTGGTGGAGCTTAGTAAACTCAAGCACTTCAGCGACGTCCTGAACCAGGTCAGAACAATAATAAGGCAATAAATATGTGCTTTGCCGGTTTTAAACAAGTTCGTTTAAAACTATTGGGGCCCGGTCGCCGATTATGGCTCGAAATACCTTTCGGTCAAAAAATCAAAACAAGTCAACAATTATAAATGTCCAGTGAATTTGTTCAACAAATTTTACTCCGTGTTTTTGAAACACCCCTCTAGCTATGTGCCTCTCGCAAATAGTACTAAAAATCTCTTTATAAGGAGATTGGCATGCGCATGGCGCAAGCTGCGCGATATGGGGCAAGCTGCGCGATGTGGCGCAAGCTGCGCAATGTGGCGCAGAACGCAGCAGTGCCGGTGTAGTGTGAATTTAGGATGCTATGAAACACAGACTCATTAGTAGCCTGCTTTTTCATCACTACTAGTACCTCCAAGTCTTAAAACCCAAGGGTTTTTTTCATAGATGTTTTTCGAAAAAAGAGCAAGCATGTCAAAATTGCATTACAAGCATTCCCAGGTTCCCTTTGTAAATGTGGAGACACTTGTACTCACTGCTCCTTGGAACCATCCTAGGTTGCTCGCAATGAGAAGCAGTGGAAGCATTGGTTTGACAAGGAAGCGCCCGAAGATGAGATCATACCTGACGGATACCAGAACTCCTTGGATGTCTTCAGGAGATTGCTCCTAGTCAGATCCTGGTGCCCTGATAGGACGCTGTCACAGGCTAGGAAGTATATCGGTGAGTAAACTGCCAACAAGAACTCAGACATCCCATGCAAAACATCTCGTAAGATATATTAAAAATCAAAGGGTCAAAGCAGCTTCAACATGCACCTGGACCGAGAGGTGTCTTGTTTGCATTCACACGTGTGAATCATGATCATCTAAACTATCATGATGTCTTTACTTCAACCAAAGACTTCTCTGCTTATGATACACCAGTTTGTGCGTACAGCGGCAGGACAGAAAGTCTGCACTAATCCTGTGTGCACGTAATCCCAAGTTATGGAATGCAGGCCTACGCATGCTCACAAGCCAAAGTAACCAATGTCTAACCTGTGAGATATGCCAACCGTTAGCCTGAAGAATTCTGTAATAGAGGAGGTTCGTCGCTCAAAGTAAGCAAGCCTTGATATTTGACCCAGGTATGGCTTGCAGAGTGGTTCCTCTAACTTTTGGCCGAGTTTCTCAAGTCCTGCAAGATGCATGGTTCCCCAGATCTTTTCAAATCATTCCATAATAACTATTGGAATTTGAAGGCATACCTACTATCGCTTTATACCAAAAAAAAACCCTACAGATACATCACAAGAAATTGACACGTTTTTGTCTTCCATACCACAGTGGACTCGTTGGGCGAACGCTACGCAGAGGGAGTCATCTTAGACTTGGAGACAACCTGGGAGGAATCAGACATGCGCACTCCTCTCATCTGCTTCCTCTCCATGGGCAGCGACCCCACCAACATGATCGAGTCCTTGGCTAAGAAAAAGAAGATCGAATGTCGATCTATTTCCATGGGTCAGGGGCAGGAGGTCCACGCCCGACGCCTGATGAGTCAATCCCAGGCTAACGGCGGATGGGTGCTGCTGCAGAACTGTCACTTGTCGCTGTCGTTCCTCGGTGAGGTCATGGATTCCGTGGTGGAGACAGAGAACGTTCATGACTCGTTCAGGTTGTGGATGACTACGGAGGTACATCCTAGCTTCCCTATCAGTCTACTGCAGGTGAGTTATGAGAAACTGAGTGAATTCCTTCTAGAAATCGAGTAATACTCACTTTAGATTGGTGTTACAGAGTCGCGGCGTACCAAATTATGCCCAAGATTTGAGTTTTGTACATGAAAAGTTTGACGTTTGGAACAGTGGAAAAATCAATTGCTGCATTCATTTTGAATTACTCCAGAGACCAGTCAAAGTAAAATTAATACACAAAGTTCTACTGTTTGAAACCAAAAGTCTAATCACCAAACCAAATTGTTCCCAAGATTTATATAAGTTTGATGTTTGAAACAGGAAGGTGACATCATATAGAATTCATTGAAAGATGGACTATTGCAGTTATTCGGAATGACTCAACCGTCTCGCTCAAATTTTAATTAATATAAGTTCGTCAGAAATCTATTTGAGGTCGACTTTTTTGGTTTTGCATGACTCTGGAACGCCTTTCTGAAACAGGTGTGGCTCATGATTTATTTGACCACAACTCTGCCTTACAGTTTGATGGCCTCGTCTTTTCCTAACATTTCTGTAACTTCCTTTCTCACCCACCAGATGTGCATCAAGTTTACCAATGAGCCTCCTCAAGGAGTCAAGGCAGGCTTGAAGCGAACCTATGCAGGTATCAGTCAGGATCAGCTGGACGTCTCCAACATGCCCCAGTGGAAACCAATGCTGTATGCTACTGCTGTACTTCACACAGTCGTACAGGTGAAATGACCCTACTTTTTTCAGTACATGCGCAACACCTGCCAATTAAGTAATTGAGTTTGAGCTCTGAACAAAATCAATATCAGAGACCAGATTCTCTTTGGCATAGTTTAAAATAAGCAATATTTAAGAAATGTAGATAATTATAAAATATTGTGCATTTATAAAGCACCCGCTTCTGACAACTTTGTTTCTTAATGTGCTGTACCATTATTTTACTTTATCCATAAGCATTCTAAGACAATTTTAGCTCAGTGAGGAGAATATATTCAGCTCAGAGTTAGATTAACATGACAGATTTGACTGAGGCATTTGGGAAATTTTGTGCAATTTTACAAAGTTATGCCTTTAATATTTGAATATAACTGTAATTTGTTTGATCAAATTTGCTTGTGATTAGAAAATTAGTTTTATTTCAACTTTGATGACATCGTGTTTTTTAATCCTGAGTATTCTGAACATTTATTAGAAGGTTGTCATTTTTTCATTTTCCTCTTGTCTTAATCAGGAGAGACGTAAGTTTGGTCCTCTTGGTTGGAACATCCCCTATGAGTTCAACTCGGCTGACTTCACTGCCACCGTCCAGTTTATGCAGAATCACCTGGATGATATGGATATTAAAAAGGTATTGAAAGATAGCTACTATGTTTTGTGAGATAACACTGAGAATTGACGTTTTACCCTTATCAGTGTTTTTTAAAGGAAATTAATAAATACCTTGGAGAGTTGATGGTTTCTGATTGGCCGAGACTCGATCACGTGGCCGGTCATTAACGGTGATAATGGACCGGCTTCAAAGATCAAGCGAATAAATGGCCCCTGAATCAGCATTGATCCAGCCCCGTTCAGCCCCATGCAAGCCAATGATTGGTCAAAATATAGTAACAGTCCTGCGGTAGCTTGTAACAATTGAGCACTGCACATGCGCTCAACCCCCATCGCGTGAGACTGACGCGCGCGTACGCAACACAGTTGCTAGGGATGCGTGCGTGCGCGCGCGTAAGGAAGTTTTGAAACGACATCGTATACAGCAGTGCAGTACATACTGAGGATGTTTACGACGAAAGCGTAGATCTACGATTTATTTTCTTTGAACACTTCACCCACCGACATATTTACCTTTCCTAAACCAAGCATCTTTGTAATTCCGGACACAAGGAATGTGTAAACGAGATTTCAGCTTCCTCCATCAGGTGAAGATATGAAAACATTGTTGTAATTTGTTTCGCTACGGCAGCAGTTTCTGTTGAGTTTACGTCGTTATAGCTGTTAAGCTAAAATATGGCCCATGAACATGAACACAAAAAAGTCTGGAAATATCGCCGAAAGAAAGTCACAAAATTGGAGCATTTTAACTGTTTATTTCGTTAAAAAGGTATTTATTAATGGGAATAACAGTGTGAGGATCCGGTCTTCACTGCGTGATAATGACCGGGTGTGGGGGTGACCGCTGTTAATGGACCTCGACTTCGTCTCGGTCCATTAACAGCGGTCACCCCCACACGGTCCATTAACAGCGGTCACCCCCACACCCGGTCATTATCACGCAGTGAAGACCGGCTCCTCACACTGTTATTCCCTTATTAATAACCAAGTCTCAAATAAGCATCAGGTAGTGGGTCGGTATTATGAATGAGAATTTATTTACCATTTTGAGTAAAAAAAAGTCTAAAAATGAAATAGATATTTTTGTAGCGTATTTTTGCAACCAAAATTGCAGCAGATTGGTAAAGATAAACAAAACGTATGAAAAGTTGAAAAAGAAACTACAAAAAAATTTGCATAATTAACTAGCTTATTTTTGATTTGTTACTTGTTTACTGATTTCTGATATTTTGTCTCCTACCTTCAGGGTGTGTCGTGGCTGACTGTACGTTACATGATAGGAGAGATCCAGTATGGGGGTCGTGTCACTGATGATTTTGACAAGCGCCTCCTGAACACATTTGCAAGGGTAAATATTCCGCTTGCTTAAAATCATTAAAGGGAAAGTTTGTCTTTCAGTAACATTTCATTTCTGTCCCTGGAGACTAAAACAGAAAGTGTTCAACGAAGTTAATTTATGCCAAGGTAATATTTTAACATTGCCAACACTTCACATACTTCATATTAAAACAAAATACTTCAAACAAGACAAGTTACTTAACATTCAGTCTGTTTTAGAGTTAAGCCTTTGTACTTTTACTTTCTTATTTCCTGTGTATATCACAAGCAAATGCAAGTATGTTTCCTTAAATTACATATTTGTTCTTTTCTTCTGTTAACAGGTATGGTTCAGTGAGCAGATGTTCACTAGCAGCTTCTGTTTCTACAAGGGCTACCAGATTCCTAAAGGGACCCAGGTCCAGCACTACGTGGATTACATCAACGGCTTGCCCAACGCTGACACCCCTGAAGTCTTTGGGCTACACCCTAACGCTGATATCACGTTAGTACACATGAAGACTACAAAAACAAACATTGAGTTCAATTATGAGTTTGGAAAATTGTGAGGCGTTTTGGCAAAAAATGAGACAGAACTGGGCAGAGGTCTAACGAGGGTTTGTGGGTATTGAGAAAGAGAATAATATCATCCTTACAATTTTTGAGGCAACTCTAAAAAAAAAAAAAAAACTCTCCAAGAACTACAGCCAATACCTGTATCTTGACGGCAGCACCATCTGCTAAGGAGAAATTTTAAATTCAATATCTCATACCTCACACAGATATCAAAGTAACACGGCCAGGGAAGTACTGAGCACCATCTTGAGCATCCAACCCAAGGACAGTGGAGGGAGTGGAGGCGAGACCAGGGAGGTGGTGGTACAGAGAATGGCCGACGACATGCTGGAGAAACTACCTCAGGATTATATCGCATATGAGGTACGATAACAACTCTTATCTGTATCAAGAATGTCTTAAAGGCTTATGAGGCTGCTCCCTAGTATTACGGAAGAGAAATCTCACAAATTAGAAAAATATTTTGTGTCATTACAATCGTATATAATGTCTAGAAAGTGCTTATAGATGTACAAAAGTATGTGAAATCTTAAGATAAACAGACATCTTGAAATAAAATCGCTAGCTAAAAAGATCCACACAAATTGTCTTAATGGCCATAGGCCCCTCTCAAATGACGTCGCTTCCTACTGATTGCCACGTACATAGGCATTTTGGCGTCAAGTTTTCGTGACGCGCATTGGCTGCGCCGTATTTCAAAGAAATTTTGAGCAACACACATGCGTGTTTAGAGCATTTTGCACACTGCGCGTACGCGCACCTGATGACGTTGAACCAGCAGTTGTAAATTTCCTACAAAGACGGTGTCCTATGAGAGAGCTCCATTATACATGTAAACCAATTCAATATATTAACATTCCTTAATGTTTTAAAATGCTCAAAACAGAAACGCTTATTTGACCTGTTCAGACCTGTGCCTGAAATGCTTATGGATTGACAACGTACCTTCTGGCCTCGGGAAAAAAAAACAAAGCTATGTAGAGCTCAACTCTGTCTTGAGTTGAAAGAATTCATAATTAAGTAACAGAAACAAACATCATAACTGCCTCCTCCCTGCACGTTAAAATTTGTTCTCAAGCTTGTCATTTTTTTCTTCTCCAACAGGTCAAGGATCGGATCGTCAAGATGGGAGCTTTACAGCCGATGAACATCTTCCTGAAACAGGAGATAGATCGCATGCAGCGAGTTATTACGCTGGTTAGGACCACACTGACAGATCTGAAGCTGGCTATCGATGGAACTATCATCATGAATGAGGTCAGGATTTTACTCAACGAGTTAAGCTTTAAACTCAAACTTTAAGCAACATGGACATAATGAACTGTTCGTTAGTAATGAAATTTGTTGTGAAAAAAAACGTCAAATTTTTGAAGAGAATGGGTATACGTCTTCATTATCCAACTTAAAATCCTGTCCATCCAACATACAAAGCTTTACATAGACTTTTCAATTGAATTTAATTGTTGTTCCCCTTTGCAGAACCTACGAGATGCCCTTGACTGCATGTTTGATGCTCGCATCCCAGAGTCTTGGAAGAAGATCTCCTGGGCATCCTCCACCCTGGGCTTCTGGTATTCCGAGTTGATAGAGCGCAACGGTCAGTTCCGCTCATGGTGCTTCGACGGTCGGCCCAACACCTTCTGGATGACAGGCTTCTTCAATCCTCAGGGATTCTTGACGGCCATGAGACAGGTGGGTGCTCCTTGAAGATTGTCTTCCCATCTTTTCTTGTCCGTGTCATCTTTTTGCTGCATTTCATTTTGCTGTCTGTTGTAAAGGATTAAAAAAGCTGGTAATCCCATCAAAACGGATCATGGCATTTATAACCATATCAATAAAGACACTTAGTGACAAGGAGTTCTAACCTTAATCAATCGTGAAAGTTTACAATAAGGGGAAAATATCGCAATATGCTACTGAAAACTGATCTTGCATATTCTGCTTGGAGTGTGAATGAAAAAAAGGAAATTTTACCCGATTAGTCGAACAGATAATGATTGGGGACAAGATTTTGAACAATTAACCCTCCTGCTGTTTAAAAGGTCACAAATGGTCAAACAAATTTCCTTCCACTTTCCCTGGCTTACTTAATAACAAACCAATGGGTCACTTAACCAATATTGACCCAAGTAAAACACTGAAATCAACTGGTTATGACTAAAATAGTCAGTGACAGCATGGCTTACACCTACAATCATAACAATCTCTTTAATTAAGCAATTGCAACCTGTCAAATTAAGGATGAGGCCTCTTTTAAAGTATTATTTCAATATCGCAAGAGCTTATCCTTCATGCATCGTACCGTGCTTTTTAAAACCTTCCAGGAAGTGACCCGTGCTCACAAGGGCTGGGCCTTGGACAGTGTCATCCTCCACAACGACGTCACCAGATTCTTCAAAGATGACATCAACCAGCCACCAGCCGAAGGCGTCTACGTCAGTGGTCTCTTCCTAGAAGGAGCATCCTGGGACCGTCGTGGTATCCGCCTCATCGAACCCAAACCCAAAGTCCTCTTTGAGCCTCTGCCTGTCATTCACATCTACGCCATCAACAGTACGGGAGGGAAGGACCCCAGGATGTACGAGTGTCCCATCTACAAGAAGCCTGTCAGGACGGATTTGACGTTCATCGCGACTGTTGATCTCAAGACGACCCAGAATCCCGATCACTGGATTCTGCGTGGTGTGGCGTTACTCTGCGACATCAAGTAGATCCCTCTTGTATTGTGTGTCTCTTTGGAATGATTAACACCATGTGAACAGTACACAAGGTGTTAACTTCTTCCAAAAACCCACACTATCTCTCGTCTTTCTCATTTCATGCATGTGCCTGACAGCGTCAAATTCAGTTGCACTTTTCTGCCATTCTGCTGGAAACGAAAGCATTTCCATGCAAAGACCTGCAGTATTTCTCTTTCATTTTCTGATATTCCTGTCAATATATCCTGATGCAGCCACAAAATCACCCAAAAAGTAACTTTGCCTTGAAATGTTCAAGCAAGATGGACATTAGAAAGCCTAACAAGCTTTCTCACTGCATGCTTATCATCTAACAGACAACGAAGAGAAACTGACAACGTTTATGGTTTTTGACGCTAGAACCCAGTAAACAAAGACATTGAGAAACTGGACGTCGGATAACTCGAATAACACAGGGCTGAATAACTGTGTTGGTAGAGTGCCTGAATTGTATTCTGGTGGTCACAGGTCCGACTACCACTCCAGTCAATTTCTTTGTTCACACCTTTCTTTTGCTCAAATCATGTTAACAGGAAAATTAGTATTATAACTAACTTATTCCATCCACCATGCTTAACTAAGTGCAACCCATTGTAAAATTTACACCATACTAACTGTGCGAGCATGCTTAAATTAATGCTACTCTAAAATTAATTCTTAAATCCTGCAATTTTTTTAAATTAAGTTGTTAAATACTTGTTCGACAAAGTAAAATGCCTGTCTATTGCACAATCTATTGTACATATAAATTTGATAGAATTCAGCATTGCGCTGTACTGCTTATGCATCGTTGATACTTCACTTGTACATGTTCTATTTTTTCTACTTTTTAAAAAGATCAAAATCAGCCGACGTGACATTCCATCTTGTGAATAAATTTAATCATAACTAGATTATCGAGTTCAAGTTATATGCTAATCTTATAAATCCGTCCATTTCTCTGCACATTTACTCCTATTTCGCACCACGTAGTTTAATATATCATGTCACTCTTAATCATTTTGTCATTATTCAATAAGCCTTTGTACTGATGACATCACACTTTGTTTACTTGTGCGCTTTTCTATGAGGCTTCAAAACCGACGCCCCACCAGGCTCCCATCCAAAAGCACATGTGCAAACAAAGCGTGACATCATCAGTACAGAGGCTTATTAAACGTGCTTAATTAAATTCTAAACATTTATAGGATCATATTTTTTAAGAAAAATCAACCAAAGATCACATTGTTTGTTATTTAACCACCATGTGGACATGGTGCTTCTTCGCTGTTCATTGCTTGATTCCGTCCATGCTCACTTCATGTATTCTAGTTGCATACTCTCAAACATGCTACATTAGTAGCTCATGCTTCCCATGAATAAAAGCCATTTCTTAGGGTTTTTTTTGCGGGTTTATGATTCAGTTTTCTCATGTGGAACTGGTTATATTGTATTGTTGTATTCGAACCAGTTTATCCTGTGAAGCTGAAAATAAACCCGTAAAAAAACAATTAGAGGGACTGCGGGACGTTGCAAGTCAATACTACACACGCAGAAAATTCAGTGACAAGAAGATGTAAATATAAAAAAAAATCTGGGTTTAACGTGAATTGGTAAATTTGAAGGGACAGTTTTAACGAACAATGGCAAATGTTTTTACATGGATTTTGAAATGTCATTCAGAGAAAATATAAGAGTTTCATGAAATGGCAACTAAAATTCCAGCACTGAGAAAGTTTTTTTTCTATTTACCTGTTGGAACATGACCAGTAGATGTGCTTATCTACTCTTAACTTTGTGTTAATAAGAGCTTTGGCAGATTGAAGAGATATGTTTTGAAATTTAAAAATAAAAAGTACCTAAAATTGAATTAATGTGGTGCTGGGACTAGTTTTAAGCGTACTTGTTAAATGGAGGCTTTCAACAGTTTTCGTTGTCAGACAAAACGATACAAAATTTGCACATTTAGTAATTTTGCAAATGTCAGGTAACTTGCATACTGAATTCGAATAAAAATTATGCACTTACATTCGGACAAAGTGTATGACTAAATATGAAAGTATCAAATTTGGTAAAATTGGTTAAATTGTAGTGATGTTTTTCCATGTGTGTGCTGTGATGATTTGATAGCCGAATTCAAAGTAATTGTTTTATTTTTATGAACAAAAGTAACTTTATTCTATGCATTCAGAATGTTGAGATGATAGCGTTTAGCTTTAAGGAATCCTCTGTCTTTCTTAAGTGTAGGATCTAAATTAGAATTGTATGAACCTTATTGTTATGCAAATGTAGATTATTTTGCTCTCAAAATTGTCAATTTTCATCAATTCTCTATCGAAGTTGAATCAATTTTCCATGTAATTTATTTTTTAACATTCTATTGAAAAAAATCATTACAAATTGTGATATTCAAGTGTTGTTTTTTTAAAAATGGTTTGAATTGTGATACGTAACAAAAAATGCTGTGCGCAAAATGAACATTCCTTTAGAACAAGTTTTTACAGAATTTTGTTTCTTGCCTAGTGAATGTACTTACATTGCATTGTTCCTTCAACCCATAATAGTGTCCTGTTTAGTAAAATTCATTTTTTACTTCGCATAAACAATTTAAAGATTTTGTCATTCAGTTTCGTTTTAAACTCTGTTACTATGAACAATCCATTCTTAACATACTTTTGCTTATTGCTCTGTTTGTGTGAAATGGAATAAGCACGCACTCTGCAGTGAGTAAAATTCAATAAATGTTCTGATTTGTTACAAATTTGATCGTCAACAAGTTTTCAGTTTAATCTAGAGTTTGTTGCTCTCTTTCACGTATAAGGTGTCACGTCCATTTTCTGAACCAATAACCCTAACCTCATAGTTGAAATTTCACCAATTTTTTACATTTGATTTTACATGATTTTCTTGTGGTTGAAAATGTTTATCATTGTTTTAAGAAGATTTCATTTATAACCACTAATTCATCAACATTTCAGGATCACTGCCCAACGTTTATCAAATCTTTTATCCCAATGACCAATGTGACTACAAGCAGCAAAGTAAATATGTACGGGTCCACCCACCCTCCCTCTGTAAAGGACCCCCACCAACCATCCAACCACACCTTATGTCAAACACCATGCAAGTCTTACCTAAGCAACCTAGTCAAGTAGTTTTTCTTACAAACTCTTGAAGAGCACTACAAGTGTTTGCAAAGTTATGTCTTACAATAACAAAACTGTCACGTTTGCTTAACTTTAATACTTATGTCATTGTCACAATGCACCTTTTTGCAATGGCTACCAAGCTGTTCTTCATTATTAATACAATGTAATCTCAATATAATTTCACAGTATTAGATGGCCAGGATTTTTTTTTTTATCAAGCAGTGGCAGATCGAGGAAGAGGGTTTGGGGATGTAAACCCCACCTCTTGGGCCGCCAAAAATGGGGGAAAACACAGGAAAAACCAGTACCAGACACCTATTAACACCTGTTGTCTAACACCCCCCCCCCCCCCCCCCCCCACTTGGAACCAAACCCTGTCCAGTCAGTCACAAGTAAAATTATAAGCCAAGTCACAAGTATTGGGGGATGAAGAATGACAAAGGAATGCCATATTTGTTTATCTCTTTATCTGTGACCAGACTTGACTCGTACATTGACTCGTAATTTGACTTACAACGTAGTAGTAAACAAGAAATTGCTTAAACTAGCTATCTAGGCCCTAATGCAGGGTATAGGCACGTGTTAAGTGCGTAGACCCATCAGCATCAACAACTATGACACTGCTCTTCCTGGGAACCCTGCTTACAACTAACAGACAGACGAACAGACAAACAAACAAAGGGACAAAACAAAGAAAACAAATTTTAGAAACACTACTGTCAGACTTCAATTGCCTACCTGACTTTCCTGTCATTAAAAAGAGTCAAGAAAAATCATGTTGAATGAAATGAAGGAAAAGAGATATGTGTAATTTTCTATTTTACTTGACTCTGTGAATTTTTGAAGAATTTTTTCACATATTAAAATAATTCTTTTGATTTCTAAACAATGACAACTAACTACAATCATAAAAACGTAAAGAACAATGGTCCACCCACCCTCCCTCTTTTAAGGACCACTCCAACCAACCATCCATCCATTTTTATTTTTAAATTCTTGACCTAATTTATGTGCACTTTTATCCACAGATTAATGTTTTGAAATTGTTTTCACTCAACTATTTGACAATTACATTGTGTGATTAAACATTTTGAAATGAAGTTACGCAGACAAAAAAAAATCATAAAATCAGACAGATATGTATGCACAATCAGACAGATATGCAAAATCAACCAAAGTTTATCAAAACTAAAAATTACATTCATTGCTAAAAAAAAAAGAATTCTTAAAGTTAGTCTCTGCTGGGCCTTTCCCTATGGTCTTGATCTTATATCATTTTTCTTGATCTTGCAATCTCCCCCTCTTGATAAACTCTTTGACTTGATCCTTTGAAGTCTTCAACTCTGCATCTTTCTTACTGCCCTTGTCCGAGCTTGTCTTGATCTTGCCTCTAATTCTTGATTTGCTCTTGTGTATTTGAATATCAGCAAGTTTTCTCAAGCTTGGATCTTGTTTGAGTGTCTCTTCCCATCTATCACCAGCACAAATGTCTTTGATAACTCGATTTATTGGATAAATATACCCTATTTATATGATGTGACTTAAATAAACAATGGCACAGAAACCACTCGTACGTACAAATTTGACAAAAGATATCTTCATGTACTTGAACCATCCATTCACACTGGCATATATTATATATACCATTAGCGTTTTACAAATTAAGATATATTTAGAAAAGTTCACAAATTCCAAAACCAAGTACAAAGTACTTTCAGTATATTTCAATCTGAAGAGTAAACATGTCCACAATTCCATATCGAACAAATCATAAGTGCCACCCCCCCAAAAAAAAAATTCCTGGAAATTATGTGTTAAGAATTTCAAAGAACAAAAATACAACCAATCAACAAGCAGACAGCATAAACATGTTGACAAACAAGGTAACATAACTAAAAGACTTACCATAGCCTAACAACCTGTAAAACAATTCCTGGTCCGCCCTCCCACCCACTTTTTAGGACCACCCCAACCATCCATCCATTTCATAACGGAAAGCCAGCCACCTAGGCCCTACTGCAGGGTATAGGCACGTCTTAAGTGCGTAGACCCATCAGCATCCATATGATGCTGCTCTTCCTGGGTACCCATGCTGACTACGGACGCACAAAGGGACAAAAACAAATACATGTAGTTAGACAAACGGACAAACAGAAGGGTAAACAAAATTTAGAGACAGAAAACTACACATTTGAAAAAGGAATGCAATTGCGTACCTGACTTCTAAACCTAAGAAAAGAAGTTATGAAAAATCTGGTAAAAAAATATGGCCCCTAGCACCTAACAATTACTGTTGTATGAAATGAATATTGAAATAAAAATTTACGAATGAACATTTCCAGGCCTAAATGCAGGGTAAAGACACGCTAGAAATCTAGTAACTACAAACACACAGACAGACAATCAATACACAGACAAACTACATCAAGTGCATACAGCCCTGGAAGAGAAATGTTGGCTATAGATCGCTAGATCTTGAGTCTACACATACGAACAAGTGGTTTTGTAATGTTGTATGGTTGCAATGATACTTACCAATAATCTTCCATTGATGACCCACTAGCCAAATTAAAATACATGTAGGCCTACTTTGTTTAGAATCCCAGTCCTTTTTTTCCTTATCTTCTTGTTCTGCTTGTTTTTGGGGGTTTTTTTTAATCCTTTTCTTTCTTCTTTTCTCTCTCTCTCTTTTTTTTTTTTTTTTTTTTTTTTTACTTTTTTTTCAACCAGCCAGGGCATAGGCACGTCTTAAGTGCGTAGACCCATCAGCATCAACACATGACACTGCTCTTCCTGGGAACCCTTTTTTTTTCTTTTTCTTTTTTCTTCTTCTCTTTTCATCTTCTATCTTGGTTGCCGTTTTTTTATATTCTTTTTATCTTCTGGCAACTGTTTCATTGACATCTTTTCTTACTTTTGTTCCTTCTTTTTTTCCCTTTTTTCTTCTTTTTATTATCTTCTCTTCATGTTTTTTTTTCCTCTTCTTTTTTTTTTTTTTCTTTGTTTCTTCTTTCACTCTTTTCTCTTTTCTCTTCAGTCTCTTCTTTTTTATTCTTCTTTCCTTCCTTTCTTGTTTTCTTTTCTGTCTTGTTTTCTTTTCCTTTTTTTTTTTTAAATTTCAAGCAGGTACAGGCATATTATAAGTAGTTAGGGCAATCAGCATCGACTGATTGCACTACACCCTCTGGGAATTCTGCTGTCTACAAACAGACAAACAAATGGACAATAAACAGTAAACAAACAGATCAAAACCAACCTTGGAATATAAGTACTGCTGGACTAATAATTTCCTGAAATGCCTATATACAGTAAGTCAATCACAATTATAAAATACAAGAGTATTTGTAAAAGTAAAAGTGCGCTGTGGTAAGCCTACTTTCAAATACATCTACAGATTGCATAACATGGTCCACCCTCCCATCCACTTTTGAGGACCGCCTCCGACCATCCAACCAATCAAATTACAAAACAATATGTCTGTCTGCTTTTACAGTCATTTTCAACAGGGCATAGGCACGTCTGATGTGCGTAGACCCATCAGCATCAACACATGACACTGCTCTTCCTGGGAACCCTATCAAGGAAAATGAACAACATTGCAAAAACAGACAGCCCAGGTGAAAATTCCGGTTGAAACCAGTTGACTGGAACTTGGTAACTGGTTTTTAGAACTGGTTTGAACTGGGTTAACTGCTTCAAAATCAGTTAACTACCAGTTCAAAACCAGTTTTTACCAGATCACAACCAGTCACTAATTTCCAGTTTAACTGGTACCAGATGAAACCAGTTGAAACCAGTTGAGTTGGTTACTAACTGGAATTTTCACCTGGGAGATTGTAGTCAAATCTGACATATTGCTTTTAAAAAGGTGTTCCCTCAATTGAATCTCGAGATCTGCTCTAATGTCCTAATTCATCTCCATCATCTTGAATATAATTGGAAATAAACATAAATTTACATGTATAATATTCAGGTTATCAAATACAATAGCCGCACTAAATGTACAAAATGTTTGATGGTCCACCCTCCTAAATCTTACCACCTCCAACCATCCATCATTTACATGTCAGAGTAAACCTACAAGTTTTAGTCAAGTCATCTAAGGAATATCACTAGTCATCCAGTCTCAAGTCATGTAACAAGTAACTCACATGAACTCTGACAAAGCCCTTCTTTTGTCATTGTTCATTCCCTATTCCTTGTGATTGACTTGTGATTGACTTGTGATTGACTTGTGATTGACTTGTGATTGACTTGTGATTGACATGTGATTGACTTGTGATTTGACTTGTGACTGACTTGTGATTGACTTGTGATTGACATGTGATTGACATGTGATTGACGTGTGATTGACTTGTGACCGACTTGCGATTGACTTGTGATTGACTTATGATTGACTTGTGATTGACTTGTGACTGACTTGTGATTGACTTGTGATTGACATGTGATTGACTTAGGATTGACTTGTGATTGACTTGTGATTTGCCTGTGATTGCTCAATTTAAATTAATGCATAAAAATCTTCATGGTTCAACTACCTACATAGGCCCTACTGCAGGGTATAGGCACGTCTTAAGTGCGTAGACCCATCAGCATCAACACATGACGCTGCTCTTCCTGGGTACCCTGCTTACAACTAACAAACAAACAACAGACAAATATACGGACAAACAAATACATAGGTCTATAACACTTTAAAACAGAATGTATAAATAGTAAGTAGACACAAATATGTAAACTTGTAGACAAACTAAGTGATCATATACTATAAGGCCCAAATAGATAACTGCACATACGACTCAAGATGTAGATGTAGTGACCCATTTATGTAACATGTTGCACCCCATTACTTGGCTCCAACATGAAGCAAACATACGCCCGTGGAAAGGACCATTGTCACTTCACACAGACACCTGTTACTCATGGTGGTATAGCTAATTTATGCAGACACACCCTTTATATATAAAATAATATACACTGAATGATATTTTAAGAACACTTGCCATCAGTGACCTTTGTCAAAGGTCAAACTAAGTTTCATTTGAAATGTGGCTTCAAATTTAAATTTTTGAACACTAAGTAAACAGCTTAAGACTGACACAACATAAATGCATTTAAATACACAGTTTTATACTTCATTAATATGTACTTATTACACCATCATTAAATTAAGATCCACCCTCCCATCTACTTTTGAGGACCTCCGCCAACCCGTGCATCCAATCAAATTACAAATTTAATGTCTGTTTTTACATTTTTCAAAAGGGTATAGGGACGTATTAAGTGCATAGACCCATCGGCATCAGCTCATGACACTGCTCTTTCTTGAAACCTGCCACACTGAAAAAAAATGCAAAAACCAGATAGACATTCATAGATTTGCCACCTCAGCACATATTGTGTAATTCTCATTAAATTCGTCCTGTTTTTCTGAGATTTTCCTCCATTCCCCCCCCCCCCCAACTCATTTGCCTGAATCCTCGACTCATTAAAGTGTGTTTTAACTCATCTTGCATTTGTCATCGGTCTCAAGAAACAAGTTATCCAAGTAAATTCAGACAAAAGCATCAATTAGTTTGTCATTCTTCACCCCCTATTTCCTGTGGCCGGACTAAGACAGTGAACTTATAACTGACTTAACAAGAAATTGTCTAAACTAGCTATCTAGGCCCTAGTGCAGGGTATAGGCACGTCTTAAGTGCGTAGACCCATCAGCATCCACAATTATGACACTGCTCTTCCTGGGAACCCTGCTGACGACAAACAAACAAATCTGAAGACAAACAAACAATACACAGACAAACAAACAACAGAATATAAGTAGACAAACCTGAAATGAAGAAATGCTGACTGTTGCTTTTCCTTTTGTCCTTCCTCCTTCATCTTTTTGTTCTTTTTTGCCATTTTCATCTTTTCTCAGCATCTTCTGTTTCTTCCTAAAACCTTTTTTTTTTTTCATTTTTCCTTCTTTCTTTTTTCTCTTATTCTTTATCAATGTGTTCTATTTTCTTTTCAGTCTTGTACGTATTTTTTTTTCTAGCTTCTTTTTCTTTTCCCCCTCTTTTTTCTTATGTTCTCCCCCTTTTCTATCGGCCAGGGTATAGGCACGTCTTAAGTGCGTAGACCCATCAGCATCAACACATGACACTGCTCTTCCTGGGAACCCTGCTCTGTTTTCTTCTCTTTTTTCCCCTCTTTTTTTTCTTTTTTCCTTTTTTCTTTTAGGCCTATTTCCTTTTATGTGCGATTCTTTTTCTCTTATTCGATCTCTTCTATTTCTGTTTCAATTTTGCCCTTTTTTTCATCATCTTCTTCCTTGTTCCCCTTTTCCTTTATTTCTCTTTCATCATCTTCAGGAACACCCATTGGAAGTAGGCCTATGGTCTTTAAATAAAGGTCCTTTTGTATTTAGATTGTGAATTTTAATGCACAGGCTGAGCCTAAAGAAATATGTTGAATTTGTCGAAATAGTGAAGGCCTAGACTAACAACATTATTTACTAAGCCACGGTTTTATAAATTTACAGGGCTTGATCTAAGCATGGGCCTTACAATATGCATTTAATATATATATATACATTTAATATGTTAGGCCTAAGTCAAAATTATGAATTAAAATATTACACAAATAACTGAGTATTTATGAATAGGCCTACGTGATAAAAAAAAGAGAGAGAAATACCAACAATATCATCTTACCATAATCGAGTGATTTCATTTATGCCAACACTTCACCTTTCCTGCCTTTTAGTCAAGTGCTTTTGGTTCCATAATGTTCAAGTTACGGCGTATCCCAAATCGTTTTGGAGCTTACCCCCCAAAAAGCAAGTGAGAAACTAGACGAAAATTCCACAGTATGGAATTTCTTTTTAAATCTTAATCTTATTCTCTAGCCTATACGTTCAAGAACAAAATACTCTATGGAAAACTTCACAACTTTTGTACACACAATGCATGCACCGCGTGTCAAGTTCTTGGTTACAATGAGTGACATTTTATGACGTCACTATGGTCGTCGGGGAAAATCGACTCATCGAAAACTCGCGCTCTCACAGATGACGTGTAGCATACGTCACCACGTACGTGTGCGTCGTCAAGGCGGACTCAACTTGTTTTTCTATGAAAACCGTCGAGGATAAGAAAAAGGAAAATAGGCCTACATTTGTTTGTAAGTGTTATAAAATAGGCCTAATTAAAAGAAAGGTTTTCATATGAAATAATGGAAACAAAGGTTCTCACAAGCATATATCTCAAAAGGAGATAGGCCTACACTATTCTACATGGTTCTGTCTACCGTCAAAAAAAAAAAAAAAAAAAATAAAGTGAAAAAAACTAAAAAAGGAAGTGATAATTAGCCATCTAATTAAAACAATTTCTCCTCAGGAAATTGGTACATAGGGCCTGGGCAAGCAAGCCTGAGCTGAAATGAGCTGAGTTTTTTTAATTCTACCGTTTGCAGTTAAATGAAATTGTTACCTTCTACTACGGTTGATGCTGATGATACTCCGATCGGTCAAGCATGCAGTATGGAATGTTAAAGCGCGCATATTATGTTTTGTGTTCAACTTCAAAATCATTGCAGCATAATCTAAGTAAGCTTGCGCTCATTATAATGGCAAAACAGCCACGGTAATCCCGCTCACATACTTTGTTAATATTTCCTGTATTCAATTCAAACATCAATAATCACAGAGAAAGAATGGGAAATACTCGCTCGATTTTTGCCGTGAAATTTCGTCTTCGTCTGCTCTGGATCCTTCGTCGAATGTGTGTGACATGCCAACCAAGTGACGTGTTTGTAAACAAGCTGAAAGCGCGCGCGCGCTTACGTCACACTACTAAGTTCTCAGTTACCAGTCGCTTAAAAAAATCACAAATCCGAACTACCATTTTTTTCTTCTTGAAGGGGAACTCTTCTGGGTAACTAGTTTTGTAAACAGTTCTCATAATTTCTCATAATGGCTTAATAATTAAAAATTAGTAATCTTTCCCAAAAAAAATTGGGAGAGGCGTGTTTATTTCGGTGTCGAGTGCGCCCCCATGCGGTGTGGGGATTCTCGCACGTTCGATAGGCAGGTCCCTCTAACTGATTGTTTGAAACTATGTCTAAACCGATATGGTCGTCAGGGTATCCACCATACATCAATGGTGGGAGTGGACTGGCGATCGATAATCAGGTAGGTTGGCCTATAAAAATGTCTTTATTTTAAACCAAATGACGAATACATAATTTCTGAAGTGTGGTTAATTTGTACGTATGTCAAGCTCAAAATTAGAATTTAATGGGGAAAGAGTGTTGCAACTTGCAACCTGACGCCACTTCTTCAGCGGTTGTGTACAAAGCATGGAGAGTCAAGAAAATTTTCTTAAGAATATGAATGATGAAGCTGAAGAAGACGACCCTCCCTAACAAAATTGGAAATTTCTCAGTCCCAGATTCATGTCTTAATACTCTTATTTTTTTGCAATGACTGACCTTCATTGAAGGGATATATGAAGAAAAAAGTGGCGTCAGGTTGCAACATTCTTTCCAAAATTCTAACGGGTGGTTAGGTTCACTTACGTTTGGGAAGAAAATAGAAATTGTCCATCAGTTCGGAACCCTCGTAGTCAGCTAGTCTAGCCTGTAACTGAGACTAGCAGTCGTCGTGCTGGAGGCTGCCATCTTGGCCGTTTCAAACCCAGGCCCAGCTTCAGCTCCGTCTCTGGTCCATTCATACAGGTTAGGAATGGGGCTGGACCCGGATACAGGCCGAAGCTGGGGTTTGAAAAATGGCCTAGGCCTAATGGTTTCCGAATTGAACGGAAAATTTCTCTTTTCTTCCCAAAGGTAAGTGAACCTAACCACCACTGTTAGAATATTAAATTCTTTCAAAAGCCTACAGGGGGCACAAAAGACAGTTTCGGGACTTTTTGTGGTGAAATCTGAAGATTTTGATTGGGGGTATGAGTGTAACTGATTAATGGTACACGCGATAAGGGGATGATCCTAGGAGTAGGAGTAGGACTCTACTGACGCCAGACCATGTCCAAATGTTAAAAAAGGCGATACGTAGAGTCCTAGTTACTTGGACTACCCTAAATGATGATGATCAGGGTTGATTGACGTCATCCAATGAATTGAACGTCATAACCTGCCTAGGCTATTGTTATGGCAGCCGTAGCGCAATTTTCAACTGCTATCATTATGGTATTGCACCATTGCGAATCTATTTGACATTAATAACTGCCCGTCCAAACAGAACTCTTCAGTAGCTCGACTGGTTAGGCACGTTCGACTACTGTTCAACATTTTCAAAAATTCATTTTTGATCCCAAAAAATAAGAATATTCTATATTTAATTGCAGAGTATTAGGCCTACATTTTCTTTTTCTGATTCGTGGCTCTGGAGTTTTTTTTTAAAGGGAAGTAAAGTCCAAAATTGTAAATGTGGTTTGATTCCCATCTATGAAGTCACAATGTTGATGCAGAACCAGACTAAGATTTGTCATGATAAAAATCTTTTTAAGTCCCAAAAAACAGTCACTGTGCATGTTCACTGCTGTGCCGGCTGAATATTGTTTCCTAAAAGAAAGCCAGTGCCGGCCAAAGATCCAGTGCCTATATTTTGACCCAAAAAATCTGTGCTAATGGGAATTGGAATTATGCATTGCAAAATGATATAATAAAGAAAAACTACCCAAGCCCGTTAAAATGAAATCATACTTTAAATATTCTTCTTGAAATTTGATTATAGTGCTTGACTTGAGAAGTTTGCAGTTTGGTGATAAACTAACCATCAGTCATGGCCGACCAAGAAACAGTAGAATCTGGTGGTGGAAGCAGTGGGGCTGAACGCAAATGTGGAATGGACATGGGCTATGTCAAGTCTATCAACGGTGTGCTCAAAGCAAAGATGATGGTACTGAATTTTTCCAAATAAACTTCTTTGTTAATTAAGCCCCATGGAAAGTAATATAGTAGAGTCACTAGAATGTCACTGTATTGAACGCAGTGGGGTCTTCAAAAGAACTGGTCTAATGTTGGGTATGGTGGCCATTTGACATTTGACACGATCAGTCAATAAAATTCTTAAAGCAAAGGCAGAAAGCAAGGAAAAGTTGTGGAGTTTTACTGGCCTGAAGATGTAGGAACCCTGCAAAGGGGATGTTCGCTATTTAGCCAAATGTTCAGGACTATAGTGGAGTTGATTATAGCGACATTCTATTGTAGTGGCCAGCCTTTCTTATTCCTGAGAATTCCTTACAAATTCGTGGTGGATTTTGAAGAATCTGGAAGCCTTGGGATTAAGATGACTGTACAAAGGTTGCACAAAGGAATGTGGAGATAAAGGGCCCTGCAATGTACATTTTTTTAAATCTTTCGTTGGAAATGATGTGATGTCATTCTGGGCAGAAACCTCAACGTTACAGCTATTTCTGCACAAACAGTTGCTAGAATTTTGGATATTTTGCTGTCATAAATTTCCTTTTCTTTGGTTATTCTTTTTTGTGTAAGTACATGGCATGATTAAGCCAATGAGCAACCCTTTCTCACTAATGTTTTCAAAGAGCAAATTTTGGGCTCACAGTTTGAACAGAAAACCCCTAAACTGAACAGTGTCTTCCTGAAATGACATCACAGCAACACCGCCCTCTCTCAGTTGTCCTGAATGGACATTTTTCAAATGTTTAAAGAAATCCATTTTTTAATAAAACCAAAACGGGATGTCAAATAGTTTTCATACATTTTAAGAGGAGTAAAATATTGCACAAAATGAGTTCCTAAGAAAATTCATCGTATGGACTCTGTACTGTTATGTAGTAATATCAATCTCTATAATGACAACCCATTTACGTATGCATTTGTTCATAGCTCATTAGAACAACTAAATTAAGACAGAACCATGATGCATTGTGTGTCTTTTTTCTTCAGGGATGGTCTCTGATCGCCTTCATTCTTTGCCTGGTGTCTGGCGTCAGCATTGCTAACATCTTCTTTGGCGTTGTCATATTCTGCGGTCTGTTCCTGAGTATTGGCCTCTTCATCGTCTTCGCGTACTCCAAGGACAAGGACATCACGAGGATAAACATTTATTTATTTGTGAGTAGCCCTGACGTGTGTAGTAAACACTCGTTGTTTCAACCCTTCCCGCCCTGCTCCCTTATATTTCAGGGATGATAAGACGTTATGATTCCCCCTTGAAACTTGCAGGAGCATTGCAGAATGAAAATGCCCATAATTGTTACATCAAATTTGTTGTAAAATGTTGGTGTCAGACGGGCGCATTTTAATTTATTATTTTTTCACAGTCTTGTTATTATTAATGATTATTATTATTATAAATTTTGGTACTGAAACCAAGGACTCCTCAAAAGCGCCCTCGGCATTGTAGCTCGCAAGCCTGAAGAAACCTCTAGAGAGGAGATAATGAGAAGAAATCACAGTTTTAGAGGTGGGAGGAAAACCCCAGAAGAATATTCTGGGGAAACCCACAGAATCAGGTAGGGACTGAAAACCAATCCACTTATTGGCCCAGGCGGGATTCAAACCCGGGTCACAGCGGTGGAAGGCGAGGAAAGTACTGCTACGCCAGCCTGACTCCCCTGTTGTTTTCAAGCGACCACAAGTCTTTTCATTTGCAAATCACAAGTCCAGTCACAAGTCCAGTCACAAGTAACGGGGTGAATAAGAACACGGGAATGCCTTTGACAATTCATTTGAACAGCTTGTTCTTTTGAAATGCCGTCTCATTACTTCTTGTTGTGATTGTGTTGCAGGATTTTCTGGTCAGTATCCTTGGAACGATAGCCTACTTCATCGTCTGTCTGGCCTCGGTATTCAACATTGCTCAACCTGCCATGATTGCTGCTGCCGTAAGTACAGAACAATTTGGGCACGATAATTAAAAACACCCTTTTCTTTGTGAAAGATTGGAGTCAACACTCGGCCTTCAGAGAAGCAGTCTCAACAGACATACTAAAGTATTGCGCTCCCATCACACCGACTGGTGCAGCTATAGGATACCCAAGCGCCCCACTGGATATGAGAAGTGCAGTGCTCAAAACATTGAGCAAACTGCAGCGCACATCACGGATACAAAATCATTTCAGCTTCCCCACCCTTACAGAAATGTTCCACCAACTTTATCTTTGTCTAAAGCCACCTTTTTTAATCCCCTCCCCCAATCTGACCCCCCTCCCCCCAAGTGAGGCCACTGCTGAAGGGACAGGTAAATCTGATACATGAAACTTGGCGCTGATGATAAAGAAATGTCCCACAAAACTTTTTTGTTTGTATGTACATGTAGTACAGTTTCCTTGAATCTTTGTCCTTTTCAAGATTGACTTTCACGCTGAAAGGAGATGATTACTTTTCTCCCCACCCCAAGCCCCCAACCCAGCCCCCACCCCTAGCCCACCATCCCCGACCCCCTTTCCACCCCCACCCCACAGCCCTCACCCTAGAGTCCCCACCCCAGGTTTCATTTAACAATTGTTTTGTTATACCTCTGTTTTGGATTCTTTGGATTTTGATGTAAAAATCCTGAAAACAAACAGCAGTAAACACAACAGTCATGACAATCGAACGTCATCTCACATGCATGTCGGCTGCTCCCACTCATGTGTAAAAACATGGTGAAAATAGCGTGGGTACCAACGATACAAGCGTACATACAAAGTCATAGCACACTCCCTGTGGGATATCACGTGCGTGATATCCAACAGGGAGTGTGCCATGACTTTTTATAAGCTGAACACGTGGTCGTTATAGGCCAATGAAAATACAGTATTCAAGACAGAGGTATAACAAATCTTCATGCACCACTGTGCAATTTACAGACATTTTGTACTTTCCACTGCCCATGCTCAGTGTTTGTTGGTTTGATTCTATTTCCGCAGATCTTTGGTTTTATCGCGATGTTGTCCTTCGGCGCCAGCATTTGGTTCAACTTCCAGAGGTGGCGTCAGTTGAAACCACGACCCCCGACCTCAAACCAAAGCTATGACGCAAATTATTAGAAACAAACGTACAGGTAACAGGATTGGATTAGAATAGAGCGTGCAAGTCTGGGTACCAAACACTGACTAGTCTAGTCTCAGACTCCCGTGTTTGAATTTACCCAATAATCTGTGTGATCAATTGAACGGAAGTTGAGGCCAACCTTTTTAATCTTGTAATAGTCATCAGTTCGCAACATTTTCAACAATCAGGGGATGTTTTGGTCAAACATTAACTATGAATAAAAAAGTTGAGATCATTATAAAAAACACTTCCCGTCTACCGCGATAATATATCTAGGGAGTCCATATCCGTTCGCATACTCCGAGCATGTCTATTTTCACAGGCATCTTACACGGAATAAACCACACCACCGTCGGATTTGTTTTATATCAATTGAAAAGGAAGAGTTTAACACAAAGGACAGGACAATTCGGGAAGGTTAGTGGGCAATATCTATTCGGAATGAGAAATGTGATAAATACTGCGATAATAGGGCGTCCCATCCTACATGGTGCTCGGATGTGCTGTATTCTCGTAAAATCTTGCGGGTTTTAGAGGTCAAATTACACTCTCTGTTGTCCCACATCCTCCAAACTCCATTGTTTGAATTTGTTTCAATTTGAAGGATTTGGTTCTGCACTCCTGACATGGGATTTTTGACAAGAATGTTCCATTGGTTTACTGCACAGTGATGGCTTTTGGTGGTTTAAGGAATTCTAAGGAGTTAGGTTATAGTTGGACGTATTTGCAAGGGTACTATAAGTTTTTGTTAGCTTTCATTAGCTTGTTTTTAGAATTGTTGTGAACATTGGTTATATTTTGTCGTCATTTAGTGTGCTGCATAAAAGGTGATTTTTTTCCTCAGTTGGCAATAAAATCACTTGTCTTTCTTGCCCCAAAACTTGCTCAAACATTCTACTTAATGGTTCCAGGTTTTTACAAGGTATTACAAGGCATTTTGTGGAGTGCCATGGCCTCATGGTCTGGAGCATTGAATTTGTGGTCTGCCGGCAATACTGTAGGTTTTGGTTTCGAGTCCAGCCTGGGGTTACGGTGCGTGTGCCCTTGGGCAAGGCACTATGTCACTCATTGCTTCTCCCCGCCCAGGATTAAATGGGTACCTGTGAGGGCAGAGATGGTTATTGTGACTGAATTTAGCTGTTTTGCGCTGAAATGGAAGCATTGAGCTTTATACTCCCTGTATACTATCGCAGCCCGGCTGTGGCTGACTTGAAGATGATGATGATGTGATGATGAGCTGTATACTCCCCAGGGAGCTGAGATTGTCGTTGGAATGTTTCACTGGCCCAATGAGCAGGGTAATAATGATGTAGCGCCTTGAACACCAATACTGGTGGATACGTGTGCTTATAGATACACATTATTATTATTATTATTATATCATTGACGGGGAAGGATTAAAATCCTTACAGGGATCCCCATTATTATGGATTTTAGAACAGGGTTGGATTTTGTTTGTATTTTCTTACATTTATACATTTATTACAATGTAAACATATATTTCAAGATTGATCCGTTCTTAGGGAAAAGTTTTAAATGGGACAGGGTCTGATGTCATTGTGGATACTGGAACAGGGTATGCCCCAATCAGAAAATTTACATCAATTTTTGTATTCTTATTATATATTTGGGGAAGGGACTTTAAAATGGCTTTTAGTTTTTTGACATTTTATCCCAAAATTGGAGTAAAAAACAAGTGCTCCGTTATGAGGTAAAAATACGTTGTCACAATTTTGGCTCTTTGGGATCAGGGGCCATCTTTTTATCATTATTATTATTCTGGTTTATTAAAGCCACTATCGCAGCCCAAAAGCTGAATTGAAATGGCATTACAATGAAAAACTTTAAAACTAGTAAACATCCAATTGCCGTAAACTTGCTCACGAGAATACACGGTAATACTACAGGAATTCCGGAAAGCTATTTGAAACAAAACTAAGTTTTATTTGATGTTTCATCCCGGAGTTGTGAATGGTTAACCTGTGACATCATACTAATAGCCAACCGACAGGCAGCCCCAACATTTAAGTATGTTTTGCATGTTATTTTTTCCACATTAAACAATTATAAATGTCACCACTTTAACACCAATCACATTTCAAGAGAGATACACATGCAAAGTCTACTCTATGGGCACCGTGTGCCAGCACGAAAGAGGGCGCCCTTTTGTCTAGCAATGATGTCCCATGGGCGGGACACATACATTTCGCTGGTTGACGCACGCGCACCGTTCCTTGTGTGTGACGCACGTACACCAGGGGATTTGTACTATGTACGCGCAGTGGCCGCGCTCCACTGCAAAATACTGCAGTCAGGCAAGATGGCGTCGGTTGGTCACCCCCAACTGTACTTTCTTTGCCGGTGAGGGGGTACTTGTGAACGGAGCGGATAGATACAGTATTACATATGTATCTGTTTGGATTCAGCAGTGTGTTTCTAGTACATTGTATTGTTATTATGAATTTACATATTCATGTCTAGTTTAAAGGTGTAGTAGATCATGACAGAAACTACATGTTATACAAAGGATGTTAAAATTTACTATTTATCTATAGAGGGAAAATCAGCAAATTTCAATTTTATCATCTTTTTGTTGGATCAAATTCAATTTAGTTGGTTGTTTTTGGTTCAAAGTCTTGTTCGTTGACCTGCCTACTAAATTGTTATTACAGACGTAGTTCCATTATAGCAGCTAATTAAATTCCATTGTGTTTAGAATATTGACCCATCATTGGCTATCGTGTGTACAGTGTATATCTGGTTAATTAAACCCAAGTAGTCTTCCAGTAACTTATGTCATCGTTTTTTACCTTTACTGTTTTGAATATCATACTTACCAACCCCCCACTCCCCCCCCCCAAAAAAAAAAAATTTCAGAGGAGCATTTAAGGTTAAAGGGCAATACATGCACTTGTCCAAGGCAAAAGCTATGATAGTATTTGCGTAATTTTTCCTGTCTTACGGCACATCAGCCCAGAAATCAAGTTGGAATGTCTTCTAGGGTCTCTTAGGCATCTTTCCTGGAAGTTTGGCGCAATTTAAATTTTTGGCCGAAATTGAAAAAAAATGCAAGGGGTAAGCCTTACATTTTTCATCAAATTTGGTCAAAAAATTACTTTTCTCCAAACGACGCAGAAATGACTTTTGATGCAATGAGAGTATCATACAATATTCAGACTGCCAATATTGCAAAGATTTGGGCAAAAATAATTGATATATTGAGAAAAAGAATTGATTTTGAAACTTTTTTGACACAAATTTTCGACAGTTGCATCTTTCTAGCAACTTTCAAGAAATTTCATTTTTTGGCCAAAATTGAAAAAAATGCAAGGGGTTAGCCTTACATTTTTAGTCAAAATTGGCCAAAAATTGATTTTTCTTAAAACAAGGCAGAAATTCATCTGGATGCAAGAGGAACATCAAACAATACTCTAACACGCATAATTTTGAAGATTTGGGCAAAAATAAACAATTTTTCGAGAAAAATAAATTAATTTTTGAGCGACTTTACCTTAATTTCGACGGAAATTCCCCTTTAACAACACATTTGTCCTGCAATCGATTTGGAATGCGTTCTAGGGCCCTTAAGGCATCTTTCTAGCAACTTTCAAGAAATATCATCATTTGGCCAAAATTGAAAAAAATGCAAGGGGTTAGCCTTACATTTTTAGTCAAAATCGGCCAAAAATTGACTTTTCTCAAAACAAGGCAGAAATTCATCTGGATGCAAGAGGAACATCAAACAATACTCTAACACGCATAATTTTGAAGATTTGGGCAAAAATAAACAATTTTTTGAGGAAAATAAATACATTTTTGAGCGATTTTACCTTAATTTTTCGACGGAAATTCCCCTTTTACAGCACATTTGTCCTGCAATCGATTTGGAATGCGTTCTAGGGCCCTTCAGGCTTCTTTCTAGCAACTTTCAAGAAATTTCATTTTTTTGGCCAAAATTGAAAAAAATGCAAGGGGTTAGCCTTACATTTTTAGTCAAAATCGGCCAAAAATTGACTTTTCTCAAAACAAGGCAGAAATTCATCTGGATGCAAGAGGAACATCAAACAATACTCTAACACGCATAATTTTGAAGATTTGGGCAAAAATAAACAATTTTTCGAGAAAAATAAATTAATTTTTGAGCGACTTTACCTTAATTTCGACGGAAATTCCCCTTTAACAACACATTTGTCCTGCAATCGATTTGGAATGCGTTCTAGGGCCCTTAAGGCATCTTTCTAGCAACTTTCAAGAAATATCATCATTTGGCCAAAATTGAAAAAAATGCAAGGGGTTAGCCTTACATTTTTAGTCAAAATCGGCCAAAAATTGACTTTTCTCAAAACAAGGCAGAAATTCATCTGGATGCAAGAGGAACATCAAACAATACTCTAACACGCATAATTTTGAAGATTTGGGCAAAAATAAACAATTTTTTGAGGAAAATAAATACATTTTTGAGCGATTTTACCTTAATTTTTCGACGGAAATTCCCCTTTTACAGCACATTTGTCCTGCAATCGATTTGGAATGCGTTCTAGGGCCCTTCAGGCTTCTTTCTAGCAACTTTCAAGAAATTTCATTTTTTTGGCCAAAATTGAAAAAAATGCAAGGGGTTAGCCTTACATTTTTAGTCAAAATCGGCCAAAAATTGACTTTTCTCAAAACAAGGCAGAAATTCATCTGGATGCAAGAGGAACATCAAACAATACTCTAACACGCATAATTTTGAAGATTTGGGCAAAAATAAACAATTTTTCGAGGAAAATAAATACATTTTTGAGCGATTTTACCTTAATTTTTCGACGGAAATTCCCCTTTAACAGCACATTTGTCCTGCAATTGATTTGGAATGCGTTCTAGGGCCCTTCAGGCATCTTTCTAGCAACTTTCAAGAAATTTCATTTTTTGGCCAAAATTGAAAAAAATGCAAGGGGTTAGCCTTACATTTTTAGTCAAAATCGGCCAAAAATTGACTTTTCTCAAAACAAGGCAGAAATTCATCTGGATGCAAGAGGAACATCAAACAATACTCTAACACGCATAATTTTGAAGATTTGGGCAAAAATAAACAATTTTTCGAGGAAAATAAATACATTTTTGAGCGATTTTACCTTAATTTTTCGACGGAAATTCCCCTTTAACAGCACATTTGTCCTGCAATTGATTTGGAATGCGTTCTAGGGCCCTTAAGGCATCTTTCTAGCAACTTTCAAGAAATTTCATTTTTTGGCCAAAATTGAAAAAAATGCAAGGGGTTAGCCTTACATTTTTAGTCAAAATCGGCCAAAAATTGACTTTTCTCAAAACAAGGCAGAAATTCATCTGGATGCAAGAGGAACATCAAACAATACTCTAACACGCATAATTTTGAAGATTTGGGCAAAAATAAACAATTTTTCGAGAATAATAAATACATTTTGGAGCGATTTTACCTTAATTTTTCGACGGAAATTCCCCTTTAACAGCACCTTTGTACTGCAATCAATTTGGAATGCGTTCAAGGGCCCTTCAGGCATCTTTCTAGCAACTTTCAAGAAATTTCATTTTTGGTCAAAATTGAAAAAA